GTGACCAGCCTTTACCAGGGCCTTTGCTGCCCTTCGCCTCCTTCCTGAAAAGGCCCTGGGGACGAGGTTGTGTCGGCGAGAGGGAAGGCGCTTCGTTTGCTTGTGAAAATATATTTTACGATCACTGATATTTGGCAAACACTAAAACTGTGATGTGTACGAATAATGGAGTGGACACGAACTCGCTCTGTTTTGGTTGAGTTGGGGAATTTGTTGACTTGTGCGATATGGTAAATAAGCGATCGATTACTCAATTAAAAAAATGCGGTTTGTTAATATGTTTGCTGGCGAGTTTTAAAATGTTGTTTGCTAAATGGTTAATTTTTTTAATTATGGAATTATTTTTGTAGTAAAAGTTATCTCAAAGATCCATGCACCTTGGATAATTGTGATCATAACTTTTGCAGGTAATATAAATATAAATTTCAGTATTAAATGAGTGCTCCAGCCTGTATATAGAAGAAGGGGATAGGTATATTGGGTTGGTAGGTTTAGGGATAGGATTTCCTTTTCATGTTAAATAGAGTAGGGCAGTTTTATAGCTCCGGGATTGTGGGATTGCTTAGTAGACTTGAGACACTGCACTCTCCTCCGCAGAGGCGTTTTGTTAAATATGTGGGCTGTATAGCCGGAAAATATATGGAATTTGGGCAATTGGATCCCCTGCGTTACAGCCTGTGTATTAAAACACTTCTGCAGAGGAGAGAGCTCTGCACTCCTGTGAAAACAGTCAGTCAACAAGCTATGGGTTTTCCCCTTACAGGGCTGCAAATAAATATTTGACTTGACAGGACATTTGTCCTATCACTTTTAATTTTGGTCGGACATAACTTGAATTTGGTCGGACAAAAACCAACACCACTAAATTTGGTCGGACATATACAGTATACGTCACAAGATATATATAAGTCACGAGACAAGTATGTATAGCCATTCCGGCGCAATGTTAGGTAAAATGCTAGAATGCCTCGTAAATTTTATTGCAAAATGCAAATTGAGTGAATTTGCAATCGGATTTTGTCACAGCACATGAAAAGAAATGTATAATGTGACAATTTTTTTGTGACCAATGTCCGATCAAAATTACTTTTGCTCGGACATTTGCCAAATTTAGTGTAATTTGCAGCCCTGCCAATAGTATGAATGCAACTGAGAAGGGACATAAAAATATTTTGCAGTTTTTTGGCATACACCTTATACTAAATGGAAAGGGTGCACCCCCCACCATGCTCATTTTGCATCTGAATCAGTTGCCTATTTCATAACAATTTCAATGACATGTGATTGTTGTGATTATTTATCTGTTGCCATATTATAATTAAAATTTCTCAATTTTGCAAAGAAGTATAATATTATTTGATATCATGATGGCATTTTAGGTGAAATACATACTGTTAGTTCTGATTGTGAAATCAGGAGTAATCTATTACTTGGTGAATAAATTAATTATATCATATTAAATTATATCACTGTAATTTATCCATGTTCAAATTGTGTTGAAAAAAATAGTGCAATCAAAATCATCAATGTCACTTCCATATTGGCTGTGAACAGCCTTACTTAATAATATGCACATTTCAATGCAATGCATTAATCCTGAGGGAGGGGGTATGGGCAAGGGGTGGGGATTTGCCTTGAACACCCATTCTATCTGTTGGGATTTTGAACATCAACATTACCCCCCCTGCTCCCCCCCCCCAAATAATATTTTTTATTATGAAAGATGATGGAAGGAAATGAATAATCGTTTTAAGACAAATATTATTTATGAAAATAGAAAATGTATTGAAGAAAGTTTGGGCAGTGAGTCAAAATGTCCAGAATGTGGTTTATTTTCTTGGGTGAAAGACTTGAGATTGAATCATCAGTTGGCAACGACTGTGAATATGACATTGAAACTACAATCACTCATTGGTGTAAACATGGAAGGTTTGTTGTACATTCCCAGTTGGTGCAACTAGTTACTAGTATTGGGTTGTTGTCAGAAAATTTAACACTGAATTACGCAATTAATATTAAAAGACATATTTTTTACGTAGATTAGGAATTAAAATGTTTCAGAAACAAAATATTTATCTAGTTGGAAAGAACTTTTAAAACTTTAATGGCTAATGCAAGTTATTGTCAAATCACTTTTCCAAGTATGTTTTCGTTTTTAAAATATTTCAGGTTTTTGTGATGTAAAAAAAGTCTCAGTGTGGTAAAGTTAGGCCTGTTTCAAACGTCGCGCTTCTTATGTGCCGAACGCATTAAAAACAATAGATAATCAGCTGAAATGCCTTGAGCATTATCTATTGACAATTTAGATAATGCTCAAGGCATTTCAGCTGATTATTCAGTTTCTAATGCGTTCGGCACATGAGAAGTGTGACGTTTGAAACAGACCTAAAGTTACCAGCAAACCTGGGTCAGAAGGTTGTGCGCATTGTGATTCATACTTTCATTTCGTAAATATATCAAAGCCCGGAGTGGCTTGCCTTTGCCAAATTTGTCTTTCTAGTTTCCGAGGCCTATTTACTCACAAAATTCTCCCATTTACCCAATTAAACCTACAGACATGAATTATGATTACTGTAATTTTGGCTGTGAAAGCCCATTTTCCACTTGGCGAATTTGTTTGCGCGAACAGTAAAAAAATAGAAACTAATCCAACTAGTTTTCATTGCCAAGATTTGTTTTTCGCTTCGCGCGAACAAAGTCGCCTATAGTGGAAAATGGCCGAGCTTAAAGGCTCATTTAAACGGTCCCAAAAATGTTTCCCTGACGTCATGCAATAATGTTGAAAACTTAAAATATGATGGTTTAACTGCTTATTTTTTTAAATTTTTTAGATGAAATCGTAAGATTTATCCAAATTGAAAATCTGTGCTTTAATATAAAATATTTGCGAATGAAAGTGTACACATGTGACCGTTATTTGAAAATTGTCGGATGGTGTTGGGCCAATGTTGGGTCCGTTTGAACCGAAGCCTTAATTGAGCAAGAAAAACGTTGCTTCGTGCTTTTAAGCTTAAAAGCTCTCTGTTGCGCACTGCCAGTTACGTTGCCTTATATATGGATCAAACAGACCCTAACTAGTTTCCTTATACTAATACTGCACAAGCAAAATGATCCAGTTTACAATAATTGTCTTCTCGGTGAGGACATATAGTAATTATTTCACCCAATGTATAAAATATACCGCAAATCTTTATTTTGTTCTAGTTGAAGATTCTGAACCTCGGGTTCAAGGTGATTCAGAGTCGTTGTCAGGAAATACTTTCACTTTTTCTTCTGACAAAGAAATGCCAGATGAAAATTGTAATGAAGAACAGGGATTATTCAGTGGTAATGAATCGGTTAGTACCATCAAATCTGGCACCAACACTAAGGAATCTGACAGTGAAGGAGAAACTAGACAAACTGTAAATATGACCCAACCTAGAACTAGCGTTATAGAATCTACTGGTTTGAGACAGCACACCAGGACAGCACAAACCACTACCAGTCCAGGTTTGAAACGAAATTCGAGTAATAGTGGATCAACCAAAAAGAACAAGAATATGGCCAAGCAGCCAAATATCACAGTTCAGAATACTAGAGAATCCGACAGTGAAGCAAGCCACGGTAGTACAGCAGAAACCACCACAGATCTTACAAATTCAAAGCAACGTGGGAATGCGAGAAATTTAGCCATAAAACACAACAAAAGGTCGAAGCAACCATGTGTCACATTTCCGAGACATCCTACAGATTCAGAGACCGACAGTGAGTCAAACCACGCTAGCACGCCAGATGTCACAGCTGAGAGTGCAAATGTAAAATATTGCAATCTAAGAAAATCAGCTAGAGGCAGAGGACATAAAAAGATTACCAAGCAGCCAAGTGTCACACTCCAGAATGATACGGAATCTGCAGACAGCGTGACAAACGACGCTAGTATAGTAGAAACCACGACAAAAAGTACAAATGACAAACAGCATACGAATGTGAGAAAACGTGCAACCAGAAGGCACAAGAAGATAACTACGCAGCCAAGTGTCCCAGTCCAGAGTACTAGAGAATCCGACAGTGAAGCAAGCCACACTAGTACAGCAGAAACGACGACATGTTTGAAACGTACGAATAAAAGTGAACCAAACAGAAAACACAATAACAAAACTAAGCAGGCAAGTGTTGCAGTACAGAATGGTAGTACAGAATCCGGCGGCGAGACAAACCACAGTAGTTCTGTTGCAACCACAACAGAAAATACAAATGCGAAACTATGTTCGAATGTAAAAAAATCAACTACAGTCACCGAACAGCTCAAGAACACCAAACAGCGAACAATCCTGAATAGTGCTACAGATACAGACTCCGAGACTGAGGCAAACAACGCTGGTACAGCAGCAATTACAAAAGCTCGTACAAGTATAAAAGAAAGTTCGAGTAAAAGTAGGTCAAATACAATCAGAACGCACAACAATATGACTAAGCAGCGGGCATTCCTGAGTAATATTGCAGAATCCGACATTGAGACAAAGGAAGAAACCACAAAAGAAAGTACAAATGCGAAGCAACATACAAATGTAATAAAACCAGCCAGAGCAGGCAACAAGTTGAGCAAACAGCCAACTGTTATGAATAGTGCTGCAGATACACAATCCGAAAGTAAAGCAATCAATGCTAGTACAGCCGAAGCCACGTCCACAAAAGAGCATAGCAACATGAAACAGCGCTCGAATGTAAGAAATTTAGATGCATTCAGAGGAGGCAAAAAGATGACCAAACAGCCTAGCATAACAGAAGAAACAAGTACTCTAGAACCCATGGAAACTGAACGTATACACTTAAGAGAGACAACCGAAACAAAAACTACCAAATCGTTACACAGGAAAAAGAAAATCGTTACACAGGAAAGTATTTCAAGCTCCAAAAGAGCAGACCGAAAAGTTTCAGGACAAAATATTCGCAAAACGTATTTGTTCAGAAATAAACAAAATCCAATTTCTAAAATTAATTCCAACTTGACTGGGGTTCCATTTGATTTCACACAACAAGAAGATCCATTCCACTTTAGCTTTACTGAAGATCGTGATAATGATAGCGGTAGTGATGATAATGATAATCACGATGATGATGATCGTGATTACGAAAATTATTATGACAATGATGGTCACAATAATGATGAAGATCATGAGAATCGACTTGATGATGATGATGATGATCATAGTAATGATGATGGTGGTAATAAACCACCACTAAGATCAATATCTACCAAGAATACATTAACTCGAGGTCGCAAAACAAGAGGAGAGAAATCAAATTCATTTGGGATTGGACATGACGATGTAGAGAACAACAAAGGAATACTGCAGAATACCAGATCTACAAACACGAGATTGCGACACAAAATAAAACGATCTGTCACAGCTGAGCACACCGAAAAGAAAGTACAGTTTACACATCTTAAAGACAGATCTTCAAATCACGACCAAAATGACCAAGTTAGAGTCGAAAAAGATAACAAGAAAACTTCATCAAATGGATTGAAATACGACCAAAAAGTTGTAGGTGATGAAGATAAAGAGAATGTTATATTAAACATAAAGAGAAGACGGGTTCGAGGAAAGAGATATAATATTCGTCAATATTTTATCAACGTTGATCGCGCAGATACCCCTGAAAGCTCTTCAGATGATGGTAAGTAAACACTTTTATATACAAAGGCCTCATTTATTTTTCCAAAACACAACTTGATTTGAAGCTTGCCCAATTTCGTTTGTGAATTATGCTTCTCTAGTGCACACTTCGTATTCCACTGTACATCCCTTTTAACAATTTGTTTTTGTTTATTTCAAGCACCAGCGCCGCAAAAGAAATCTCGAAATCCATCGATATCATCTCAAAATACTAGGAAAAACATTACCTCATCCCAGAATTCACAGAGTGCTGGTGGGTCGTCTCAGAAAACTCGAAATAAGAAAGGAGAAACGCCGTTGCACCTAGCCGCAATCAAGGTCTAGATTTTATAAAATACTTTTAGAATATTACCGACGTTTTTTGATGTCTGCCTAAGACAATCCCTTCTGCCCCTTCGCGTGAAAATTTGACAATGGTTCTTGTTTTACTTTTTCTAGGGAAATCTAGCCTTAGCAAATGAACTTATCAATGAAGGAGCAGATCCTAACGTGAAAGATCATGCTGGATGGACACCATTAGTAAGATACATTTAACTATTCAATAACAAGAACATACACTAGGTCGTCTTTTAAAAACAGCTGTTGTCAGGTCGTCTCTTTGTTATCAGGTACCGACCTGAAAACAATGAGCAAACTTTGCTATGTTAGATCATATGCCTCAAACATCTCTGATATACTTAGGCAGGGATGGATTTACTGGGGGTGTGGTGTGGTGGGGGGGGGGAGGTGTGCACCCCCTAGCCCTGGCCAGGGGGGGTGCTATTTTTCATGATAAAGCAAAAAATTATTAGAGACAAAATGAGATATAGTAATTTGAGTAATAACATGATGATAAGCGAACTGTGAACAACAATTACAATTCAAATACAGTAGTCAAGCAAGACTTTGCAGTAGTGAAGCAAGTTGATGGGCGGGCGGCACACATGACCGACACAACTCGGCACCACAGCCAGCAGAGCACCCCCCCCCTACAGATCATGCTGGATCCATCCCTGTACTTAGGTACGATCGTAGGGAGCACGGGTGTCTCGGTGTCTTCTACCACTGAGTTAAACCTGTTACTATAGACCGAGCTAGGATAGAGAATTTAGTCTTAGGTTGGGTATTGTGTACACTCGTAGAATTTACTTGTTCGTTCTTGTGCTTCGAGGCAGTTGTTGAGCATTTGTATCACTAGCCTCTGGCAACTAAATTATACTATCTTGATTCTTACAATTAATTATTATGATGTGTTTATATTAATGTACTGAGCTTAGCTCCTGTTAGTTACGAATTTAAACATATGGTGTAAAATGTTCATGGTACCAGTTTTCTTTGACGTATTTTCCATTTCAGCACGAAGCATGCAACCACGGCCATGTGGATATCGTCAAGTTATTTTTAGACCATGATGCTTTAATAAATATTCCTGGACTTGACAATGACACACCACTTCACGATGCGGTTGCAAATGGTCGTTTGAAAGTTGTTAAACTTCTTGTGGCAAGAGGAGCTGTTTTAACAGCAAGGTAAAAATACTATTTCTATTGTCTTGTTCAGAACAATAGCATTTATTCGAATGGGGTTCTTATTTTTGGTATAATTCGGTTCCTTCTGTGGTAACAGGGGGGCTTCGGTGGCGCAGTTGTTAGGATAAACACAAAGTAATATCACAATTGCTGTAAAGATAAAAAATAATCTAGGCTAAGTATGTAATTAGGTAAGTGTATAATACTTGATGTAAAGCGCATTTGATCCACATGTAAATTTGCGCTTTAGAAATGCTAATCGTAATCGAAATATTGGACTAAAGCCCCGATCAAATGAGGGCGAGGGTCCCAACTCCCGCTTGTGTTTGATCGCCAACTCTCATCAACTTTGAACTGGTCCAAATTTTCTTTGCAATTGATGAGATATTTTGTTCTGCGCGGTAATATCCAGTCCACTCCCATCAACTCTCGTGAAACTCTAGAAAACTCTCAGCAAAGTCTCGCTTCCCAACCCTCATCAACTCTCGTGCAACTCTGGAAAACTCTCAGCAAAGTCTCGCTTCCAAACCCTCATCAACTCTCATCCTCGTTTGACCAGGGCTTAATCATGGTTAGTCCTCCCTCTAGCCACCTTTATAGCCTCATCCAAAGACAACTCAGTGGCCAAAGGTAGAATTACGCATTACTTATAGAGAGATATGATGGGGGTAACATGAGATCATGAGGATTAATTGTGCAACGCCACGCTCCCGTACCACCCCTCAATCTGCTAAATATTGCGTACATTTCGCTCTTGTTTTGCACTTAGTTACCTGCGGAGGGGACTAGCCACCTTAGTCACTCCGACCTTCTTTTGAGGGCAAGATAACGGTCGGAAAACATAAAATTGCAAATTATGTCAAACTTCAATGCGTTCAGATGTGGGAACATTTGGTTGGAGTTATTCGAAACACGTCTGCTCAGTACTCAACCTCGCAAGCCAGGAGCCTGGGAACGAGGTTGCTAATAAAAGTGTTTTGGGTAATGTTAAGATTTCGTTTATTTCCTACTTTGTCTACGGCGATATTAAAGTGTTTCATAAAAGATGCAAATTTATAGCTTTTCCTCATTCTTATTTTTGTTATTTTCGTTTATTTTTTTTAACTGCGTTTTTTTATATGACATTCATTATACAAGTTTCGTTGAAACAATTATCAACGCTAAAATCGTACGTTTTCCCCAGTATAGCAGCTATCGAGATTAAAATTTGATGTTTTCTTTCAGAAATAAACAAGGCTTATTGCCAATGGATTATGCCGTAACTAAGGCAATGAAAGCTGCACTCACTCCCCGTGATGTATCTTCCAGTACAAAACCTTCAGAAAACTATTGTAATGACAATGTAAAGGTAGGTTGAAAGGTTTTAATATATATGTGAATAAATGCAGACCCTGCTTCGGCTCAGTGACGTAGATTGTTACAGTTTTCTTAGCACAAGGCTAATTCCTTGTTAGGAATTCTTTCCCTTACTAAGAAGTCTGGATATGACTATCATCACATATCCTCATCTCCGCTTATCATGGATTTTACCATAATTCTCTATCATTGATCATTATTCTACTGCACTTTGTAGATATCGTCGGAGTCCTGTCGTCAATCACAAGTTATTTTGGGTACTGCACTCAAAACACAGGACCAAGTAATTGCAGTATTCATTTTATTTTGTACAGTATACCATACGTACCCATATGATCGAATGTTTATTCCTAGTTCATATCGCTGAGTTTCCTTCTATCTTTAAAATGTGTAGGCCACATTAAAGATATGCGTCAAGCAGCTTGGTGGGACACTCGTTGATGAATTTGACGAATCAGGTTTGTACACAAATAAAGTAAGCTTAACTAGCTTTGTCTATATCTTGTAGCTCTTTCAAGTCTAAACTTTTCTCCCTTGAGGTTCAGTAACGTCCATCCTTTATTGCTCCAGGGGCCGGTTCAATGCTGGATTCGCGCCAACCTTAGGTTAAAACTTAACCCGCTGTTTTGGTTTGTGTATTTCTGCATGTTTGTTTGTTTTGAAATGTTTTAAAATAAAATTTAAATTGATCCAGACATGATTCCTGGAAAAATGTCGCCAAGTTTATGAGCAAGCTGTTGGATACATTACTTTGAAGTTTATCGTAAACCCAGGACTAAGCTAACCGGCGTTCGAATAAATGGCTCCAGAGTAACAACAGAAAAAGCCATTTGAAGCATTTTTCTGACATGAAATTCTTATCGGAAACTGCTATAGCAGGAATAGAACCCCAGTAGCAAAGTCGAAAGGCACGTACAGAAACATCAATGTTCTATCAACAACCCTAAAGCAAACTTTTCACTTTGTTTCCCGCAATAGTCAATAGCCTTAGCTCTGCATGTCACTCTAATGCAACAAATGTCGCAATTTTCTTCACTGCAGTAACCCATGTTGTAACATCTGTGAATGAAAACGGTCAATGTCCAAGAACAATCAAATACTTGTGCGGGATCTTAACTGGAAAATGGATTGTTAGTTTTGAGTGTAAGTAATATTGTGTTTCGTTGAAGACCCCAGTTACACGATACCGGATTCGCATCGGAGCGAGTCGAGCGACATCAACTAAGACGCTTTTCGGCCTCTTACAACTTTTCATTTTTGAAGTTTTTGACTAATTCTGTTATATTATCATAATTTTGAGTGCTAAACTCCCCTTGAAACTGTAAAATTTGATGTCGCTCCGAACCCGGTACCGTGTAACTGGGGCCTAAGAGTCTCGTTTGTCCTCGACTCGTGTGCACTAGAGATTTGCTAATACAACAATATTGTAGGGATCAAGGACAGTCTTCGGCAGCGACAATGGTTAGATGAAGATGTTTATGAAGTAGAAGGGACTGTAGGGAAGACGTGTAATGCAGCAAGGAAAGCCAGATTGAACATCTTACAACAGGTATGTAATTTACCGCATCTCTACTTCTATTACTACTGATTTTCCACTGCTTCCTTACATTTCCAGTTCTTGTTTCTTTCTTCTAAAACATTTTCAACCTAAGTGATTTATATTATTAGATGCCTCGTCTATTGGATGGCTGTTCCTTTTTCCTCCGTGGAATGTTCAATCCTCCAACAGTCAGTAAACAAGATCTTATCAAGCTTATCCAACTGGGCGGAGGCAAGCTGCTACACAGAGAACCTAAAGTTAGAGATGATGATTTGACTTCAGTGCCGTCCAGTCCTATTGTGACATCACTATCACGTGCACCGGAAGTGGCCTATCATGCTCCAGCTAATTCCACACTGTCGTGTTGTACCGAGTTTATTTTATACGACTCAGTGTCAGGCGATCAACCTAAAACCGTCTACTCCCCAGTTCTACGGACCGCACCTGTCACGTGGTTAATGGATTGTATATCATCTTTTCAGTTCCTAGATATCCCGGATGTAGAGATAGTATATATCCCGGATGTAGAGATGTAGATATCAGGATAAGGTTACCTCACAAAGGTCCGCTTCCTTGGTTTCACTTGGTTGAAGGCCATTTCCCTAACTGAGAAACGTTGTTGCAAACATAGAGATTATAAATAACACTAGAGGAGGCATCGAGGTTAAAAATTGGGAACGCAGCTAATGGGGGGCAAATTCAAGTCCCGGATATAAAATCGTGTTCCTCACCAATGGGAACATGAATACACATCCGGGACTTGAATTTGCCCCCCAATAGCTGAGTTCCCTTTCTTTTTACTGAATTAAGATTACAATGCCTCCTCTAGTGTCATTTATAATCTCCATGGTTGCAAACCTGAAATCTTCATGGTCCCAACCAGTGAGCTCCATATATATCTGGAGCGAGAACTCGAGTCCAAAAAGTGAAGCCAGCTTCGTGTTAACCGCGCAGACAAAAACAATAGAAAGGGACTGGAACTGACGTCCAATAGCTCCTTCATCTTGCCAAGGAGTATGCCCAAAATTTCGTATTTTAACATCGATTCATTTCAAAGAATAACACTGTAGTTTTATGAACTGATAACTTGTTTAGCGATACGGTCGGTTAGAAAAAACTAGCTGAGAAAAATGGTATAAAAACTGTTTACGAACTTCAGAGCTATTGGACGTCAATGGCCGCCATCTTGGCTTCACTTTTCTAATTGGCCGAATGACTGAAGTTCTTACTCCAGATATATATAGAGCTCACTGGTCCTAAAAAATTGTTTCGAGAGTGCGATTTTTAACTCCTAAACATTGTTTTCTAAGCTTTCAACCTGTATGTGTGGACATGCCACAGTCAGTACTTGTTGTAACTAACCAAATTACTCAAAATATTACTCTACAGGCAAATGTATCCCGGTTCACCCCATCTACAGGAAAATTGTTCACCTGCAGCTGTTGCTCTAGTTGTGTTAAAAGACTAAATTGATTCTGCAAAATAGAATAAAATGAACAAGTCTTCATAGGACTGTTAGAGGTTTTTATTACCATACTGTTGATATTTAAAAATAGTTTAAGTGAAATTGTTAATTTGAAGTAAAGTTAAAATACAGAGTACTGTTGTTTAACGAACCGTCAAATTTGCGTTCCGAATTCGTCCAAATCTCCCACTAGGACAATATCCCTTTTGTAGTTTGACCGAATAATTGGGAATAATTACTCTCTTCTCCGCAGTCACCATAAGTATTTAGAAATAACTTACACGAAGTGATGGGCTGATGGAAAGAAATGTAAAGCCCCGGTGATAAGTAGCAAATGCCGATAGTCTGCTGCACTTTTTTCTGGCTCCACGTTTACAGGAGACCAAGGAAGTGGAAGCGGGACGAAAATTGAAATAGCCTTGGCTATGAAGCCTAGTTTTCGTGCTTTGAGATATTGAGCCACTCACAGCCTTTTATCTTGTTACAAGTGGACACATTTAAGCCATTGCCGTTCAGAATTCATATGTCTGCCCACAAAATTTCCCCCTTTAACAGTTTACAAAATTTCCCCCTTTAACAGTTTTTGTTTTATTTTGTCATTACAATTTTAAGTGTTAAGATATTCCTGAAACCATTAAATTCAATGTCGTGACATAAACGAGGCTGTATAACCAAGGTTAATTTAAGTACTTTCAGGAAGGGGTCCATTGTACAGCATGTTCACATGAGACAGAGTCGAAATTTAATTTCGCGTGTTTCGAAATGCAATCCACATTCAATGATGCTATCTTGTCTATAGTTGTCAGTTATTAGTGTTGTTCCAAAATTCGGACTGGAAATGGTCGGATTGGTCTAGGAAGCGCTGACCTGCAATCAGGCGATCGCATGTTTAGCTAGCGCTAGAAACAACACTGACCGACTCGTTTTACTCTCATGTAAATGAACCTTAGCGGTGTAGAGCCAAACAAATTGGTCTGGCAAATGATTGAAAGGGGTAACTGTACACACCCTGTAGCAGGGCAACGTTATGACATATCTTTAAATAAGTTCTTCATCCATCCAAAGTCTGGTTCATACAATTGTTTCACAGTCTCGTCTTGCTGACGATCTTTTGTTCTTTTCTTTTCCTCAACATTTTCACTTGACTCTGCCTGTAGACTGCTGTCCAATGCACTTGAGCCTGCAGTGTCTTCGTCTGACGTCGCCACATCTTGACTGGTGTCCATGACTGTAGAGAAGAATACAACAGATAACGGTGACTAACTATTAAAGATCGATTGGCACTTAATATCCTAACCTAAATATAACCTGCTCTTGCATGCATGACACTAAATGTTTTATAAGAGACTGATTTATATGATCCGTCTACATAAATTTGGAAAATAGCATGTGTATAAATTTGGCAATTGGACCCTCCAAGATGGCGTGTATGTAGGACTTTGCGTGCGTACTTTGGTTTGACGAATGACCGGTCTTTGTAATAGATGAATGACTGGTCTTTGCATCAGACGCACTACTAGAAATGTATCAGGCATGATTTGTTCCCAACCTCGTTCCCAGGCTTTTTCTTCATAAGAGGGAAGAACCTTGGAACGAGGTTGGATTTGTTCCCAGAATCATTGTTATAGAATTAATAAAATTTTACGATCATAGACCGAGAGCGTCTGTTCCATAATTATAAATCCTTGTTGCTTATCTTCGTTTTTATGGCTTTCATTCGAAGACCTTTTTAACGACGCGAAATCGAGACGCATTGTGGTCTGTTGAGGCATAGATTTATATATATACCAGATGTGTAACTTCATACGACTTCGTGTCCTCAAATTTCCCTAAGCTGTGCACGTCATGACACTTGCTAGGAAGATGGCGGCGTAACATTAAGTTACCCAATGATATTACCAAATGACGAATTATCACGCGTGCACACTTGCTAGGAAGATGACCGTGAGACAATTTTTTACCGAAGTTACACATCTATCTGTTCATACTTAATAAAATTATGTGGTTGAGGCCACGCGTGGGACACGAGGATGACTTCAGATCTATATAATAAATCATGTTTTAAACTGTATTATAACCAGGGAGCCCTTAAAGTGCTATAAATCAAGTAGTTAGACAAAAAAGTCAATTACACAAGCTCTGACACCTACGAGGGCGTATAGACACAAAATATATTGAGGAAATAAAATTAATTTAAAAAGTTTAAAAAAACTATATATCTAATTAGGAGAAAAATTTTTGCACAAATTTAAATTTTAATGATTGCACAGAACATCAAAATTGACGACTGTATTAATTACAAATATTACAACAAATTTTATCAACGTGCACAGTTGCGTAATTTAGATTGGAAAAATTGGAAATTGATGCTTGTTTTTCCCCGATAGTCAACTTTACACAAATTTTAATATTTCACGCTCTAACAATGTTTACTTTTATAACTACAACGAGGAGACATAAGACAACATGTCATACAGTATATAATGAATAGAAATAGCGTTGTGTGTTTAAAAACTTCTTATTAGAATATTAATTTTAACTCTTGTCACATGTGAAATAATCATACTGACATAAAACTACATCTTGCAGATCGAAATCGAACCCGGCTCACGACACCTCATTATAGACGGTGATCGTGAAGGTTTTCATTCACGATTGTTAAGAGCTGAATCAGCTGATTCAGCTCTTAACTGGTTGGGAGGAGGTCTCAGCTGGTTGGGAGGAGGTTACGATGGTGAAAGTGGGGTGGGGGGGACAATCGAGATTTTGGGATTCCATTTTGTATACGTTCATGTATTCATAAAATATCGCGTGAAAACAACATTATTTTGCATTCTAAATTTTGTGCGAAGACATATCACCGCCAAACATTCCCTGTGTTATACTTTTGTACTGAAAAACAGGACATGGGCATGATACATTAACGTTTTGATTCGGTGGAAAACGCGCATTGCGGACGTGTTAGTACATTGCTTGACAGGCTTCCCCCCAACCTCCTTTCCAGGTCTTCGTCCCCACATCTAATTCAATCGGGAAGTTTAATCCAATGCAAAACAAGAAAGGTTCGATGCATCGAGTTTCTCACTATATACACTATACAGTGAATAACGAATATAGAAAAGAAAACCAATATGTAGAACAGCGAAAATCTGTTATAGATAATTATACGTTCTTGTTGTCGATGCAGCTGTGCAAGTAAATGTCAATCAATTAAAATGCGAGGCCAATGTACATAGTCGTAAGTCGAGACAGAAGCAATCTTTGTATAATGGTTTAAAGAAAAGTGCATAAGTGTATTTAAAAAGATGGTTCTTTCATCTCGTCCAGTATACCAAGTCGTTCTCGAAGTATGTTTTGTGAGTTTACTAGCACTATCTTCGATCGTTTTTAACCTTCTAGCTTGCGTGAATATCTGGAAAAATCCTCTGTTACGAACATGGCATAATATTTTCACAATAAATCTAATCATTATCGATCTGATAACGAGTATGTTTAGTATGACATTCACAATTATAGTTTTGGCTTATGGCGAATGGCCAATGAACACATCGATGTGTAATTTTTCTGGCTATATCAACGCACTCCTTGCAACCATTGCTATAAACACACTGGCGTTATTTAGTTTTTCACGCTATCAACTCTTTGCTTATCCGAAGAGATACCTCACAACTTGGAATAGAAAAAGATGTCTTCAAGCTATTTCTGCAGTTTGGATAGTCGCCTCCCTCGCTTGCTTGCCACCATTATTTGGTTGGGGAAATTACAAATTCTTAGAAAGAAATGCTGTATGTTTCCTAGAATTCACTGCAAGTAAAGCATACTCTTCAATCTACGTGTATGGCTTACTAGCGTTACCTCTAACTTTCTCAGTCGTGTATTTAGTTCGACTCTACATTGCATTACGCACCCGACGCCGTATAAATTCTCAAAGCTCGGACACAGAAACAACAGATATAGAGTTCAGGCAGACAATTCGTGCTGCAAAGTCGCTACTCATCCTCGCATTGGCTTTCATTCTCTGTTGGTTACCTGTGTTTATAGTGTATGGTTTAGACGCTTCAGGTGTTTATTTACCGAGAGGACTGTGTCTATTTTCAACACTAATGATTTACGTTTTTGGCGTTATTTTGCCGCTCATTTATACAGCAACAAGTTCAGTGTTTACAATCGGCTGCTGTTCGGGCTGGCTTCAGAAGTTGAGATCACCGAAAACACCAACGTCTTCAGTACAACCGGAAGACAGTCAATAGGTCACTATGGTAACTAATGCGGGTGGCGTGGCATTCGTATAAAAATATTGTACATTCACACAAGAAACAAAAATGGAAATTAAAAATTTTGAGTAATGCGACTAAACGCGGGGATAGCTCATTATTAGTTTTTAATAAAAAATTGTGCACCGTACTTTATCCAAAACAAACTTTTATTTCCCATGTCCGAAAGCAACGCCATGAAATTTTAATTTGGATGAAATTTTAATTAATCAGGTGAATCAATAATGACAAAAGAAAAGGTTGCGATATCCAGCATGATGTGTAGTCGTAATTACGGTTTGACATTTGAGTTTTGCTTGTTAACGTTTCTTCCTCGCCTTGTCTTGAACGAATATTATTTAAACAAACAGGAAAGTAGAGTAATGCATTTTCAGCCAATCAAATCTGAATCTCAAACCATTAAACACGAACTTCAAGACAAATATTTCATGGAGCAGGCACAAGAAATCGATCTAATCAACTGCGCAAGGGCTGATCAAAACTTATCTGATCGAGGAAGTGCAACGTTTTTTTCAACAAGGTTACTAGTATCACATGCCTCCACCAACACTGTACATTTTCAAAAAACGAATTAAAATTTCAATGTGCACTAGTTGATGCGGACTCTTATCTTAGTCTAGGACCTGTATATGAATTTGTATGCGATTCATTTAGGACAGGTAATCTCAACTGTTCTAGGGTAAAATGACCATGGCGGTCAACATGGCATATGTGCGAAAACCTGAATCCGGGACGAAAGTCCTGAAAATGACCCCGCCCTGAAACGGCAGTGTCGACATAGCTCTAACTTCCAAAAAGGAAAAGCGATAGCCTTTCTAAAGTGCTTATAGTGTTTAGAAGGGTTGCTTTTAGGGGTGGTCATTGGAAGGAAAAATTTGTCGAAGTATAATATTTTACCAGAAAATGACTATGCACCACCCCAGGTAAATTGCTGATTATGCACAAAATAACTAATATGCCTGGCAGAAATGAAATATTCTTATTTCCTAAAAAAAATTATCATGGGGGTGAAAAACTATGCTTAATTTAATATAAATATTGTTGATTTCATAAGGATTGTCATTGTTTTCTTTAAATATAATACATTTTATTTCACTTACCCCCCACGAAAACACGATTTCAGCCATATTTTGCCGTCTTGTTTGCTTTTTATCGCCGAATCTCGCAAATATCATCCAGTTATTGTGCTTTTACATAATCATAAATGGCTGAAGAAGATTTCAAAGAAGGTTTCATCCACTTTTGTAACAGTGCAGTGTATTTTACCTTCGATATTGTGTCCTTCGATATTCCGCCAAATTGCCGCCATTTTAATGGCTCGCCGCTTCTCTGTCTGATAAATGCAACTTCTTCGTTTCCATATATATTTAGATTACAGTATCCAAGAGTACTTCATTGTAGAATAGTCCCAATATATCCAAAAATTGGCAACATTTGTCCCATTAGAAAGGAAAAATCCTCCCGTATACAATTTAGGTTCAAAATAAAAAAACAAATAATTTGAAAGTCACGCGCAATCTTCGCGAAAACTTCTCGTGGACACATGACAGGGGGGTTGAATATTTTCACGAATATGTTCGCCACCACAGAAACATAACTAAATATATTGCATTTATTGTATTTTTATGATTTATAATAAAAACAATAAATATTTGCGTAGTTTTGTCATAAATCATAAAAATACAATAAATACAATATATTTAGTTTATTTGCGAGATTCGGCGATAAAAATCGTGTTTTCGTGGGGGGTAAGTGAAATAAAATGTATTATATTTAAAGAAAACAATGACAATCCTTATGAAATCAACAATATTTATATTAAATTAAGCATAGTTTTTCACCCCATGATAATTTTTTTTAGGAAATAAGAATATTTAATTTCTGCCATGCATATTAGTTATTTTGTGCATAATCAGCAATTTACCTGGGGTGGTGCATAGTCATTTTCTGGTAAAATATTATACTTCGACAAATTTTTCCTTCCAATGACCACCCCTAAAAGCAACCCTTCTAAACACTATAAGCACTTCAGAAAGGCTATCGCTTTTCCTTTTCGGAAGTTAGAGCTATGTCGACACTGCCGTTTCAGGGCAGGGTCATTTTCAGGACTTTCGTCCCGGATTCAGGTTTTCGCATATATGCCATGTTGACCGCCATGGTCATTTTACCCTAAAACAGTTGAGATTACCTGTCCTAAATGAATCGCATACAAACTCATATACAGGTCCTAGACTATCTATCTATAGGATTTGGTGGGAGGATGGCGAATAACCTCGTTCCCAGGTAGAAGCTGGTCACGTGATCGATGATGTTGATAAATATTTGATATTTGTACTTCAATTTATAAGTTTTATTTGATTTGATTTGATTTTAAAGGAATCCAAGATAGTTAATTAGAGATCTGCTAGATTTTAGCAGATCACGTTACCAGCTCCTATTAGGATCTTTCCTCCACAAGAGTTGGATGGCGAACTCAACTACTTAAACTGGATCCGAAATGTGTATGTGCGTATGAAAAACGCACGACATCAAAACTTTCTGAAAACGATAACCTCTGTACTGACCTGGCTCTTCATCATCACTGTCATCATTATCACGACAAAGATTCTCACTGCAGGACATAAAGAACAAATTCTTGTTCAAATTTATTTTGCATCGAAAAGAACTTTAATCCAAAAGAAAAGGTATTTTCTAAACACATCTTGTCCAACAGCAAGTGATGTTATATAGTGTTGGAACTTAAAAAGTTCAAGGTGAAACCAGTATACAAGTTAGTAAAACATTGGAAGGGAAATGGTGCAAGACACCAACGAACAAATCACGACAAGGTCGCGCTATATCAAGTTGGATGCACGGGGCAAGTATTCACCTCTAATCCCCATTTCCCTCTCAGCGGCGGAGAAACTGATAGTCTGCGAACTCGGAGTGAGGCTGTGGATTTGAACGTTAAATAATTCTTCATACCTGTCAGGTTCTTTGCTGATGAGTAAAGAATGAAGGAATTTTGAACATAAAGTTGTTACAGGTGGAAGTACATGTGACGGAGCACTCAACATCTAGAACACATTTTAAAAATAATTAATTAACCTGCATTTTCGTGTAACTTAATTATACATGTTTTCGCTCGCTACTCTGGTTTATATAAAAGAATACAAAGCCCAGTCAAATTGTAATCAAGATGCAACGTTTCGACACTCCAGTCTAGTGTCTTCATCAGGTGAAGACACCAGACTGGAGAGTCGAAACGTTGGATCTTAATTCCAATTCGACTGGGCTTTGTATTCATTTATATAAACCAGAGTAGCGAGCGAAAACATGATTGATATACCTGGTTGCCGTGAACGAACAAAACTTAGTTATACGTTCATAACAATAAAGTGTGAAGAATAAGTGAACGGAACTGTATGTATATAAGAACCACATTACAATGTTCTTTCCCTGGGTGATGCCAGAAGACAGGAGGTTTGCTGTTATCTAGCGACCATAAAGAAAAGGTTTTTATCTCGGCTTCATATTGACTCACAATGGTACAATGTAAAACCATTACGAGCTTTGATAGAGCCTTGTAAAGTCACAAATGAAAACACTAATCTTCATCGTAATACTACATAAATTATACTGAATTTCCCAGCGATCATGCATGGTAAAAAATTGTGCTAGTCCATTTTATTTTAGTATCAGTTTTCTCACAAGTGAATGTAATAAACTTTAAGAATTGCTAAGACTGAGTAAAATTCAAAAGAAAGTAAAGAACGAAATAGAGATTATGGGTATATTAAAATAAAGATATTGTACGCTCCAGTTATTCAGGAAATCGTATATTTGTTTTTTTGAAGTAAACTAGCAAAGCATAATGTTTGGCCAGCGTCTTATGGGTCTGTAATTTTAAAATTATAAAATGTTTATTCCTGACACTTCACTTCTCAAAACCACTACTCGCCACGTGTGAATATTCCTCCAACGTCATCCCCATGAACTTTCTTACCTCACGGACAACTTTCGAAGACGTGTTTTTATGAAAGGCTGTAGCCTCGTCTGGAACTTCTTCTGAAGATGCTACAAGCAAATTGATAAGTTTAAACTACAAGAGCTACTGTACATCCTCAGACTCGATTGAGTCCCAAGCTCTCTGATATTTAACAGTGGATTTGAGTTAGGACCGTTCTTCGTATGGTATTAACGTTTAATATTGCCAACAGTTAAGCCGAGCGCACAAGCTACGATTTTAGTCTGCTGATTTATGGTCAAGGTGAATGAATATTAACGAAGCCAATACATTCGTATTTGGCCATACACCTTACATGTTGGATCACCTTAGTGTATATATATACATGACTTGCAGTCAGAGTTCGATAACTGGCCTCTGTAGCTCAGACCGCTGCACCGGAATCGCAGGGCCGCAGGTTCTGTTTTGAAACAATGATTATTTTACCTTGATCCCCGGTTGCTCCAAACACTCGATGAAATTCGGATTCTTCTGCTTTTGTGACTGTTTCCTGTAAGAAATTTTCCAGTAAGCATTTTATTCATATTGTCACGTGTACTGACCGGCCCTTATCACAAACAAAGCAATTCTGGGCAAGCAATTTTCAGCCACTCTCATTGTTTATTTTCAAAGTGCAGTGACCGTCCAGGCATATTGTGGACCTTATAATAATATATTATTGTATATTACATAATATAGTTGTCTACAGTTTGTGTATGCTAATATGCGGCTTACCTTAACTGGAAACAGTTCCTCTGTTTCAACATCGTCAATGGTATATAACACCTGGATATAAATATACATGGCAAAGGACATAAGAATTAGCAATTTACAACCTACTTTATACTCGAGTCACTTCGAGGTAATCGCAGTACTACAGTTTCCTAAACCCGTTTTCCACCAGGCACCGTTTTCGCGTGCGAATTGGAGAATCTTTATATAATATACTCATTATGCTGTACTTTGTCCACAGGACTTTTGGTTTATGCGAGTGTTCTTGCCAATACAACAATGGAAAATGTTATTCGCACGAATGGGCTTAATTGGTCACAATGAATAGATACCACTTGACTACAAATTCGTATGAAGGTATCGTGCCGTACAGTGTGTACTGTTCTCAGTACTGTAGAGTTTCTATATTTCTTCTACCATATTCTCCTTTGCTTAATTGTGCTAAACTGTACTTTGCTGTACTGCATTATATCGTGCCTTGCTGTAGCTGGTGTACTGTACTGCATATATTGTACTGTAACGCACTGTATGTTACTATACTGGGATCGGTTGTACGAACGATAACGCTATCCACCGGATGGTGATTTTTTCAACCCTTTTAAAAATGCTTGAAAAGCCATTATATGCATGGACCTCACAATTAATAATAAGAAACTTTAATTTATAAATAGTAAAGCTTAATTGGGGTTATACCAATCAACCGACAATTTAAAAAAAATTAACTATACGTACCCTATACTATGTGAATAGCGATACCCGGCTTTCGTACAACCGGCCCCTGTAGTGTACCATACTGTACTGTACTTTGCTGTACTACACTGTTCTAGTTATAGTGTAGTGTAGTGCAGTGTAGTGTAGTGTACTGTACGGTACTATACTGTACTATAGTGTGACCCGCTGTACCGTACTTCACTTTATTGTTAAGAGGCGATTTTTTTCAATGTCACGTATTTGCAATGAAAACTGTTCAAAACCTAAAATCTTTTTGGCATTCCTCTCAAAATTACTTTGTTTTAGCTTTAGTCTCTAGCTTGTAGAGTTAGCTACTTTTTTAAATGCATTTGCCGGTTGAGAAACATAAAATAATAGTTAAAAATTGTCAATTAAAATACAATTATCAATGATGCTTTAAAATTGACGCCTGCATAGTTTACAGCCATATAAGCAAAACTTACCGAACTTCAGACATCATTTTCTCTTTGGCGTATCATCTAAAATCTCTTCATTTTAGCATTATTTTACAGATAAAGCATTAAACATACTTTTTAAGTTTGTTTGCCGTTTGAGAAACATCAAAAAATAAAAATTTTGAATTTAGTCATAACCTCAAGTGATATGTTACACGCATTAGTTTTGAGCGCGTGTTACGTAACATACAAAAAAATCTCCTCTTAATACAACTGCACTTAATTGAAAATTTATAAACGAACCAAGCCCACGTACGTACCTGTTTGCTGTTCATGTAAAATAACCCAGCCATAGTGACATTGCTTTTCTTATTCTGTACAGTTAAACCTTTCATATTAGGTTGAAAACTGCCGGCCAAGAAACTTGAGTTCTGCAAAACATTTGTTTGAACAGCGAGAGGTATGGCTGAATGAGGATCAAATATGTAAACTGTAATGAAGTGAAAGAAACCAAAATCATTGAATGAACTGCCCGATTTAAACAGGAGACATATTATCTGTCAAGACGCATCAGGATCAGATTGTGTCTGATATTTTCCTGATACCGTACGCGAAGACAAACTGCGCAGATAGTCCGTCTCGTAGGCGTACGGGGCTGATGCCAGGGGGGGGGGCTGATGCCGGGGGGAGTTGAAAGTTTGCAAATATAGAGGATTGTAACTTTTATATTTCCTAGCATTTACCCGAATTTCCATGGGGCCAAAAAAAAAAATATGTGGGTTTCCGGTTTCCCGACCCTACCTAGCTTTTGGACGTCGAAATCCCGACCCTAAACTTTTTTATTGGATCACGCTTGTAAGTGTTTCCACTTAGAGGAAAAAGTTTGTGGAAAATTGAAATTTGAGGCAATATTAAGGAAATTTATCTTTGGATGTGGAAGCACCGACTAAACAAAATGGCGTCCGGTTGTTCGGAAAATTAAAAAAAAAGTTTAAAAAAAAAAGTTAAAACCGACCTACCCTACCTAAGTTTTTATAAGAAGAAACCGGAAACCCACATATTTTTTTTTTTGGCCTGGTTTTCTAAAACCCCCCCTGTCCCGTACGCCTACGGTTCGTTTTGGGGGAAGGTCGATCTGTTTGCCAGATACGTTTGTTTACAGATACATTTTATTTACACGGATGAACTGTCTCTAGTATACACCCGGCCAATATTTAGAAAATAAGCTTGCATAAAACTGGATTACATCGTACAGTATAATGAACAAGATCATCTTATAAACAACACTGAAATGTTTGCAATTAACTACTCGCGTCTTAAACTTACGATGAACTTCCTCATCAGTCACTTTAACGAAGACAGCCATTACATAACTGCATGGATCGGGAAGAATACATAGAACTTCAGCTTTTGTATTCCATATAACTGTAATTCAAACATATTGTAGATAAATCACATAAATATATCACTATCAACTATCAGCATTACAATGTATCTTAGCCTTGGTCCCAGACCAAAATCATCGCAAACAGTTTTAAGTTCTGAGGCTTGAAAACGATAGAATAAGCAGTGTGAACAACCCAAAGTATAGAATTGAGCCAATACCAATAAACCATATTAGGTTTTAGGAAATAAAACTTGCGTCTCGACTTAAAACTTGCGAAAGCATTGTCTGATTCTGGAAGTCAAATATGTTGATTTCCATCGCTATATACCTGAACAAGAAAGTAAATCCCAAGCCATGAGGTGATGTGTTGTTGAGGCTAATATGATATGAGAACACGATTGTCTACCAAACGTTACTCTTCTATATCAGAAAAAGATGCCTACGTTAACAAAGTCAAAATGCAACAACGAATTCACATTTTGGGTATGCGTAAAAATTGGCATTCATTTAACACCAACTAAATTTCGTACCTGATATTTTGAGCATAGGGAGAATACAATGTTGTCTTTTGTTCATTAATACAAGGATCCCATAATGTTATAACCTGAAGAAGGGATTAAGTTCAGAACTGGATTGTTACTTACTAAACAATAAAGAAGATGCATAAACTTGCGAATAGGTGCAATACGCGTGATACTGTACAATGCATGCATAACACTTTGTTTACATACAGTAAAAGTCCAAACATTGAATTGGGGGGCTTCAACAGCCTATAAACATTCTAACCCAAATTTCAATGGTAAGGAAGTGGTGACGTCGTCCAACGGAAGAGATCCACGAACCAGTGATTTGAATTGTTCGTGCACGTAGAACACTTACCTGTCCATAAACAACAGCCAACAAAGATCCGTCGGAGGAAAATGTTGCATCATCCACAGGTTCATCTCGAAGATATCCCACAGACTGACATAGCCAAGCTTCTCTATGCTCTGAAATAGCAACACGACATTCTTTACAATATAGCTTAATATAATTATTCCTTTGATGATGTTTACGCAGCCGTGCGAGGTTGCTCAATTATTTTTTGCGTGGTTGCTCAATCAGTTTTTGGCGAGGGAATAGACCGGAGAACCAAGACGACAACCCTCAAAGGACATACGAGAACCAACCAACCCTCTAATACGAGTTTTGCTGTGTAGGGGGTAATCACAGTAGCAGGTTTAGTATAGCGGTAAGGGGCAGCTCTCTATAACCATATCTACCCTCCCTACTCCAGCTTGATTGAAGTTCAAAACGAAAAAAATCTCTAGTTGAGAGCTAAGGACATGAAAAACTTAGAACTCCCTGCAAAATGCCACGATAAAATGCAGTAGAACCATGAATAGGGACATATAGGTCGAGGTTTGTCCTTGTAAGTTTTGACCTTCAGAGAACAATATTAATTGAATGATATCGCCAAATATTTTACTCATACAGTTTTAATATTGGAAAAAAAACATCAAAAAATAAACTTAGTAAACTGGATTTGCTATTTTCATAAGATATCAGTGGTAAATTTAAGTTTCAGTGTAATTACCTTATCCTACTAAGTTGCATGTGTAATCCCAACAGTTTAATTACCTTTTATATCAGGTTGTGGTTTCAAAATCCAGATTTTAAACTTCCCATCTAAAGCAGCACTCATGGCACGTCGAATATCAAATGAACCTGGCTGAAACTCGACAGCAACCACTTTTCCTTCGTGAGGGGGATCTATACATGTGTTTAGCACGTGTCTACGGAAAATAGGGAGTAGTTACTGTATATATTCTTGTATTATACTGTATATATTGCCACATTTCTTATATACTGTTGAAGGCTATAGATCTGATAGCCAAAAGCCAGTAGCTAAATAAAAATACTTGGTCAGAGAAAGTTGCGATTCTTTATATATATATATGACATTGTATAATCCAGGCCGCGCATCTTCCATGATAGTATCTGCGTCCTGATAGTAGCTAGTTATTGTAAGGTATTGTGTTGACAGTTTGGTACTAAAATCGTGTTCCATGCACATTGACAAGTTGTCAACGAATAGTCAAATCGTTAGTTTACCTTTGCATTTCTTTATTAAACTTCCAAAATTTCAACCGGTTTTCAGGCGTCATTTTACCGTCGTCCCGTCTTTCCACCTAACAGGAAAACCAAAATTCCACGAATATAATATAACGACAATCACAATCTTTCCAAGTAAAACGCAGTTAGTACCCAATGATCCATTTCCGGACAAAAAAATCCAATATATAACTTGTTTACATCGTTGGGACCCAAATTACGGTACCAAACCATTTTAAATTATGTATACAATTAATGTCACATGTGTATGTAATTCTAATGCCTAGTTAATTTAATTTGTTCTATTCGGTACTTTCTTAAACCTGAACAATTGTGACTATAGGTATATGTGAGCTGTCCAAAGTCGTGAGTTGGATACGAGTCAGGACAAACTACAGGTACAGTATACTTACAGTTGCAAGCCAAGTGCCATCGTTTGAAAACGATATTTGCTCCACGACTGTCATCTGCAATGGTTCATTTTTAGGTTTGGAAATGTAGTTTTGTCTCACTATGTCCAACTAAAAATAAAAATAGTCCATTAATTCATACCATCTGGTCACAAAAGTAAGAAATGTAGCACCCTATTTGGTCTATGAATTTACAAATGTTATGGTATTGTTTGAAATTTGTTGATTTCGGTGTCGAAACGAAGTTACGCATCGCTTTGTATTCGGTGTGTGAGTTTGTTAGTCTGTTAGGTTGTTAACTTAATTGTTAGTTTGTTCCACTGAAATGAATATAACTGGAATGCTACCTTCAAATAAAGTTGCCTAATGACTGAAAGGAGTATCTTTTTCTTGAAGACACGCGTGTCTGGGGGTCAACATGATTGACGGATTGAGCGCTCTTCGCATGCGTGAAAAGACTGGGACTGGCCTTCAAATTTGGAACCGCACTGTATGTCTGGTTCATTCTACAATTGGGAATCGGGTTTACACAACCTCGTACCCTGGTTCTCAATCTTCGCTCCTACCTCGCTTGAATTGAGGCCCTGGTATCGGCTGGTCACGTGACCCGTCATATTGTGGCGGATTTGCTCAATTGTTTTTAGGAAAAAGATAGTAACTGAGATGTTTTGTTTTGTATAATGTTATTTTAACAATATTGTTTACTACAATATCTACTTACTATACTTTCCCTAAAACAATTGAGCAAATCCGTGAAAATATGACGGGTCACGTGACCAGCCGATACCAGGGTCTCAATTCAAGCGAGGTACGAGCGAAGATTGAGAACCTGGGTACGAGGTTGCGGGCACCTTCTCTCCCTTTAGTATTTTCGTAAATAACACACTTTCACTTACTGTAAAAGCCAAACTATCAGTATCAGGCTTGTAAAACTGCAAGTTACCATCTTGACTGTTGAGTACCAATGATTTACTCAAGGGATCTGACACAAGACCAGTATATACTTGATTGGCTACAAAACATTTACCAAACCATATTAGGTTGAGCTAGAGGGCACTTGGAGACTGCATACCTCCGTCAGCGAATTAAGTTATGTGTATCATGCATAAATTATACAATGGGTTAATTACACATTCAGTTTACTCTGCCTGGCAAAACAAGACAAGCCTTTGCTACTTTCTCATCCAATGTTCATGAAAATGTTACCAAAATTTAATCAATTTGTCCTTGGGCAATGTCCATTAGTCCCACAAACAGACACACATATACAATCACAGATGAAAACATAACCTCCTGGTAGAAGTAAATATAAAACAAATGAAAAAACAGCAGACGTATATACCAACGAAATTGACGCGAAATAAAGGTACTGTCGTAGATTGAAGCGAAATAAAGGTACTGTCATAAATTGAAGCAAAATAAAGGTACTGTCATAGATTGAAGCGAAATAAAGGTACTGTCGTAGATTGAAGCGCAATAAAGGTGCTGTCATAAATTGAAGCAAAATAAAGGTACTGTCATAGATTGAAGCGAAATAAAGGTACTGTAGTGTAATGATTGTATAGTTACCCCGTGCAAGACCTTGGACAACATTCACAACAGACAGATCCACAGCTGACACTAAATTAATCACTAAAGGAAACACAATTACAATGGTTCACACTGATCACAGTACAAGCTGATTGTTTTAATCGATTTATTTTTTAGTTCCTTCCTTTTCATGCTTGGAAACGTTTACATTTTTTTGCAAAGTTTTCGAATCATATTTATCGCCATGGTTCGTGATAACTATGACGTAAGCAATATTGGAAAAAGGTTGATGTACCGGTAAGTATACATTGATTCTTGGTATATCCAAATTTTCATCCTCCCCCGGGAAATTTTGAAATCTATATGCTGTTGAAACCGTTTAAGTAGGTTCTTTTAATTTTAAACACGTTTACACTATAGAGTTTTTGTCACGAAATACAATTGTTGTATGAATGTTGTTGAATGTTGATAAAATATATTACATTATGTAACGTTATGGATTAGGAATTTGAATGATGAATGTTAAATCTTACCATTATCAGTATGACATACAGCAATCACTGTATCATCTTGGCTGTTACAAATATGAGCTATAGGTGCACCAAGACGAGGTTTAAATTGTTTATGATTCGAATCTATTTGCCAGAAAACTAAAACTGACTCTTCACCTCCTGAATATAAATAAGCACCTAAAATGTACATATACGCAATGTTTCAGTCTTGGCATCAAACTTCATAATTCTACTACACATGGCTGCAGAAGTTAGGGAACCATGGAGCGACATTAGACAGATTTAGATCGAGGACGCAGACGTCAAAGACGACGTGAAAATGGTGCCCATGTACCGAGACGTCACGCCATTTTCACGTCGTCTTTGACGTTCCCGTTCTCGATCTAAATCTGTCTATTATAGTCTAAGGGGCTAACTCCAAATTCAAAATGTTCGCTTCAAAACTTCATAATTAAGTTGAATTAAAAATCGTGGAGTTACAGGTCAACTCCAAAAATCATGTTGAGGTAGTGCAGATATGTATCTAAACCTGGATAATAACTCCAAAAATCATGTGGAGCCAGCTATCCAGCCTGGAGTTACTGGCTAACTCCAAACTCTCATCATCAATCATGAGCAGCTATTTCAGGCCCCCTTGTCCCCAGGTGACTATAGTTTTGGTTGGCTTGCATGGTGGACTTCAGAGCTCCACGGCTGCCCTAGCATAGCCTTGTTCCATTCAACGATTGGCTACCTCCACAAAACTAAAATCTACAGGCATGACACTATTATGTATTTATGTGCTGTGATACATGTAACACATCAAGCTTTTGTGCTTTAATTTTTGGCAGCTGAATGACTTAACAATGTTCAAAACCTGTGTATGTTTACAATACAAGTCTACCCAGAAAATACCGTCTACCCAGAAAATCCGCCATAATTTAAGTCGGCTACGATTTGACATGTCACATCAATTTGGTGAAGATTGGCATCCTTTTGACGAAATCTTGTGTCTACAAAACAATATCTGTTAAAAAAAATGCATGACATCTTCTGTCCGCGAAAGAGCATGGCGAAATGGACATGTCGCTGTCTTTCGGATCTTATATATACGTTGGGTTTTGTTTCAGTTCACAAGAATATGACTGGATACGGACACTAAAAGTCTAAAATCCATAAAAAGAAAGCCAATCCTCACTAAATTAATGTGGCATGTCATTGATGTCAACTATTTTTTAACCGTTATTGCAGCCAATTTAAATTCGCAAATTTACTTTTCAGATCGACGTACCGCCATCTTTCCTATTATGGCAAATTACAATTGGCGAAACATTTTCATTGGTGACTATTTTCTAAGTGGGACTACAGAATGGATCGATTGATTCATAATGTCAGTCGTAGTAAGTACGTGTCATAGTACACTTATAATGGCTTAACACTAAATACAAGTTTTTTTATTTATAACCTTCTTAAAAGCCCATGTACATGCAATATAATTACATACCGTCATTACTAAACTTCAAACTTGCTACTGAGTGGGCATGCCAATGAAGCTTTGTACAAACTGGTTCTGAATCTACTTCAAGATTCCTCCTAAAATGAAGTTATACTTGTCAACTTACGAACAACGACGGTTTTACTCACTATTATTAGTGAAACAATGCATATAACAATATACGTACCATATTATAATTTTACCATTGTCATGTCCAGTAGCCACGCAAGAATCAAATGGATGGAATGCAACCGATGTAAGAGGAGCCTTGGAATAATGTCTATAAAAATACATGAAAAATTTTTAACTATACGGTATGAGACTATGAGTACACTATATATAATATATAGCTATAGTTTTGTTTAACTAAGTAAATTATCTTACTTTTGAAGAATTTCCCTCTTGCAATGCCAAATCTGTAGATTGTTCTTTGAGATCACAGCAACTTGTTCTCCCTAGAAACAACAGCAAATTCAGACGAGAAATGAATTTAAGTATACTACCACTCAATTGGTAACGTGTCCCTAGCTACACTCTTTATCTTTAAGGCTTCACTTGCTGGACATGGGACCAGGACGAAATAAGAGTGGGACTAAAATCGAAATTACATAGTAAGTTGACATGAAATTGAGATTGGTCGGAAATCATTCTTGTTTCTTTCTCAAACTCATTAATAATTCATGAGCAAAATACTGAACAACGGAAATCACCGCCATCTCAACTATCGCCTTGAATCATTATGTTTGAATTCCTCTTTAAATAAAAGTCAGTTTGAGATGATAAAACCAGCTCGAAAGCTGTTTATTACTGGCGTATAAAAAACCTCAAAGTATGTGGAAGAACCACGGCTAGTGCCTCGTTTTCAACGCACTTTTCGGTATTTTATATGTCGGTAATAAACGCTTTCAAGTTCATTATATATTACATCACATATTTCAAAAATGCAATTGACGATCAATCTTGTTAATCCTGTCTGCAGTTGCATATTATCAACATTGTATGATTGTTCTGAAACTTAGAATATATTTTGCGTTTAATGCAGTTAAATGCAATTTAACTAAGTTAACAACAAAGAGCGCAGTTAGTGTGTTAGTAAGGTCAGTGATTTCTGGCATACCAGCATGCGCATGGCGATAGTAGGTCAGCAGCTGTTAGTGTTTGAGCATGCGCAAACAACAGGCACGCATTGTTCGGAAATTCTTCTAGACTTGGGTGCTTATTATCGGAAAGTTCGTATTGGATGACCCAGGCACCCATTATCCACAAGCGATACAGTTGTTAATGATGAAATATCTCCGCTGCAAATTCGTTCCGGCCTGTTGGTACGTACTCGGCTCGGTCTAGCTGGCGAAATGACTTCACATGCACAGATCCGAGTATTAAAATTTCTCACACAGAGACAACACTTTGAACGAACCAAAATCGTCGCTCATACAGTATACAATACAATACTTTATTAGAACCTCCCCATGGGGCTTTTCAGGCCTAATTACAATTATCAAATGACATAGTTAAATTACCTATTTACAAATATATCATTAATTAAATAAATTCTTGACTTTCCTTTTAAAAATAGTTATTGTTTGACTGTCCCAATCTCACGTACGTAAGAGTCTAAATCTGGTCTAAATTTGTCCAGAACATGAACGGTTAGTGCAAGACCCAAGATTTTTGAAGTTCTAGCTCGTTGGCTGACAACCTGAATTGACTTGCGATGACCTACTATACTGCTTTGGGTCGTTCAATTTTCATCGCAAATCTCTTTTTCCAACTTTCTCAATGCGAGCGCCTTACATTTCTGAGATCATGTCATCGATTGTTGCTCCAGACCAAATGCAATCACGTTGTGCGAGGTTTCCTTGCACAGGGGATGTTGACAGCATTGGTACCACTCCTTCAACTTTACCTGTAGAGCAATACTTATCTTCGTGATTTTATTGAGTATTCTACAAAATCTACTATAGTCTAAACACGATATGACAAACACTCACAAGAACAAATGCAACAACTGACAAACAAAACCTCAACTATACAACAACATAAGCACAATTTGTAGAAGACCCAAACGGCCAAATTAAAGCACGAACGAGACACAAACTCCCATGCAAGGTGCTCACCGTCGCAATACAACATAACAGACTCTACAATGTCAATGTTCAAAGACTGACAAGAAATAAACAGTACAGTATTTAAATTAGAGATTGTGGCAAGAGCAGTCAGGCACCAATGTCTACGTACATGACATGTCTATGTCAAAGTTTGCCTCTAAACAGTGTTTGTACGTGTCCTTAATGTTTCTTTATCATACGTACTGAATTAAACCAAAGAATTCTGCCCACTCATGCAATCAAATTGCGAGAATCCCCTTGTTCTTATTTTTAGATATTCCCCCGATCTACTTAATCAATATGACTAAATCTGACTACAATATACACTATAATTCTAGTTTCTTTCTAGCTTTGGTTGATTTAGAACTCTACCATATTCTCTATTGTGATTGCACATCTTTTCTGTATTTCTAAATCCATTCTTCTTACACAAATCTCTGTGTATAGCAGGGTAAATTTTTTCTGTGTTGGTGTTGTGTACTCAGGTGAATATGATGTTTGTGATGTTACTCTGAGTGTATATCCACACCGGGTAAATTTTATTATATCCCTGATTCTAAAGCAAGAGAGCTCAGTGCATTCTGACACATTGGTTGAATCTAAATGGTCACAGATCCTAGATTGCAATTCTACTGTGGGTTAAAATAAAATCTTAGGATAAAATAAAATCTTAGGATCATTTTTTCTGGTTCCTTCTTTCATGTTCCTTTCTTAACCACTGCCATGATTCTTTCTTATTCCTTCCCTCCTTTGCTGAATACAGGATGTAATGCTTCTGTTTGTGATGGTTCCCTTCCAAAAATGTTCCTTGTTTGTGACGGGTTTTTTAGTTTCCTTTCTTTCTTGCCTTTCTCCAGCCTACTGTATACGTTTCCTCTGAGGTAGTTTCCTATGCTAAAGCTACATTTCTCCATTTCTACAACATCCTCCACACTTTGCAGTCTCGGTACAGCCTTTACAAATAGTATTTGTATTCTGTACGACTTGAGGGTGAAAGCACTTGTAGCAGGAAGTGTCAAATTTCTTCATTTTACTCCTTCAGTTTCTTCAATTACACTTACTCCATAGTTAATAATTGATGAAGGCAGATTTGATGCAGTTTTCCTGCATTGAGTTTAGACATGAGGACCTTTTTTTAATACTCAATTCAATCACTCTTCACATTGTGGAAAATCCATATATCCCTACGTTTTCGTCCCTTCCATCTCACATTATCTTCCCAAAATTGCTTTAGACCGTGTGCTCGTAAGTTGACTGGAATTTCTCCCTGCAGTAAAGCTCATCTCCTCATGCTTTCAAAACTCGGTAGACGCTCGTAGTTTCGAAAATCGCACGTCAATATCGATGAAATGTACGCCAACTTGGTTATAGAACGTAAAACCTTGTACAGCAATTCAGAAGTACTTTAAAACCCTAACTCTATTTTACAGTATCACCAACAGAGTATACAATGGCGACTCTTTGACAAAATGCTAGTACAACATTTTGGGTATTCACAATTCCTCACATACTAAAACTGTCTGTACCAGTGTGGGTAGTACCAATGTGAAAATGCTGTGCTGAGTGGTTATATTACTACCTTAAAAAATAAGCAGAAACTCGACGTTTCGAGCGAAAGCCCTTCGTCAAGAGTTATAACCACTCAGCTCAGCATAATATAACCATTCAGCACAGCATTTTCACAATTCCTCACAGCTGCTTTTCTGAGAAGTTAGGTAACTAATTATCCAAGCAAGTTTTTTAAAAAACAAATTGAAAATATTGTTAAATTAATTTCCTTTCATGAATGAATGAATGAACATAATTTTTAATGAGGATACCAACTTCACAAGTAGTGGTTTACAGAGGGGTCCTATTAGAGGTAATATTATGAGGTAATATTATGATATTAATTTTGAAATATATGATAAATCATACACTACCTTCTCACTAAAACAGTAAGAGTCAGGACTCTTTACAATCTTGCAAATTTTCTGAAACTTCAGAAAAGAATCAACCTTGTTTAGACCTTTTACACTTTTGTTTTCAGATGTAATACTGGCCTTTCCAAACCAAAATGTCCCATTTCCTGCAGTAAAACAAATTGAAATAGTTGAAAATCTTTTGATAGCTTATCTTACATACTATATTATATTACAAACAATGTAAATCTAAGCAAGTTGTTTAAACAAACTTACTTTTTTTATTTTCTTGTACAATAAATATTGTGTTGGGATGATCTTTGCGAACAGTTACTCCATGCAAAGGGTATTTTGAGCTGCATTTCTTTACAAAGAAACATAAAAAGAATTCCATAATAAAAAATAATATGCAATGTATTAGGCCAAAATATTGTGGTTCTGGTTTTATGTCTGGAACAAAATAGGGTAGGTAGGTCAGAAAATAATTTTAGGGGGGAAATATTTTTGCAGTTGACATTGGTAAGCCATGGCCATGACTGTGATCAGTTGGCATTGCCATAACACGTAAGTGTTCAAGGAGCAATAACTGTGGGGGCATAACCTTAGCATATTTGTGTGGATATTACTGGTTACCTGGTGTGTGGATACAGATTTCATGAAATGCAATAAATATATTACATGATAGTTTACAACAACTTGTAACATAACTTACTGTAATGATCGACCCATCTAACACATCCCAGAAATAAATATTCTTATCCAAGGAGCAAGATATCAGCTGAAAATTAAAAATTGCAATCATGAACTAGGAAAATAGGACGATCACAAAAATATGGACAAGAATGACAGAGAATGATCTCAGAGACAATGGGCATACATACAACAAGACAGAGCAGAGTGACTCAGATTTGTAAATCACTGTTCAACAACAAATAGAAATAACAAAAGACATATTTCATGTTAGGATACCTGAAGTTGATTTTTATCACTAATACAGATATCGGTGACCTCATCATCATGACCATCTAACACTGAAACTAACTCTCCTGTCAATACGTTGTGTCTTCGTATTTGACTGCCATATGCACAAAATAATGACCTAGATAAAGAAGAATTTGCCTCAAATTTAGGAAAAGAAAAGTTAATGCCAGTTTGGCTTTGAATGTTAGCATGTTTTTTCTTCATCAAAGCCACCAGTCTGAAACTTTCATTCAGTTGTTATTTGAAACACCTTACTGTACCATGCACATATTTTTGTATTCAGATATTTCACTGAGGTTTTACTGAGGTTGAGAGCAGGCCACTTCTGGCTGTAAAGTACAGGATGTCACCAGGGCATATCTGCCAAGAAACAGGGCATCGACCATGCCTAGAAAATAATTTCTCTTCCTGTATAGCTCGGCATTTATGATGTCGACATCAGCTAGGATGTCAGGGCTAAGCAGAGGACAGGGACTAGGATGTAGTCCTAAATAAATAAACATCCACTTTCACAACATTGATCAACCTTCAAACTATAAATATTCAAATCCTTTTGAAATTTATTACCATCTGTTATGCTCTTGTATACACAATGGCAAAACTCTTGTTGTGAAGTTGTCAATTTTGGCCGTGGACAAGCAATAATAATTTGAGAGAGATGCATGGAGATATTGCCAATTTACTTCCGCTTGCCATTCAGGATGTTTGACGTTGCAGAATCTAAAACTATCTATTTGTTTAGGATGACGTCCTAGTCCCAGTCCTCTGCTCAGCCTTGATGTGTAGCTGACGTCAATATCATAAATCTTAAGCTATCTACTGTGTTGTAAACCCAATTTAGTGGCGTCCATTGTGTGTGAATGGATAGGTATTAGGATTTCTGTGTGCATATAACCTATTCTTGGATGTTAAATCTTCACTTTTGTTTGCTATAATTCACATTTCACTGGCATCAAAATAGGACAACTTCCGATCACAAACAGTTACCGTTTAAGCACCATTTCAAGCTGATTTAACTGACACTTTTGCATGCACATACAATGAGCTACAAATAAAACTGTGTGTGCACTTGCCATGCTCTGCAAACTGGCCAGGCCAATTTTTGTTTTTAATTAACAACTGCAATGCCAGGAACAGTTTTTATAGTTTTTGGTGTGGATGGAGATGATCTCACAGGAAATATCATGGAGAAGATTTTCTCTACCACTACAAAGATTCCAGTTTGGTCAATGCAATGGATATAAATTTTATATAATAACTACAGTGAAACACGCAATTTGATTGGTCAACAGCCGTGCAGGATCAGACAATCCTGCATGGGAAATTCTGAACAGAAATTCTTGCACATAATTTTACAAATATAGTTACTCGCATTGTAAAGTTTCATTATACGATACCTTTCGACTTTGAAGTAAGTTTGCAATTATTGAGACATTGGTTTAGTTGTATGAATAAATTTCTGATTGATACATTGCTGTTCAGCAAGTAGCAATGCGTAGCGTTGAAATTCATCAAACCATGGCAAGTACAACATCTCTCGCTTCAAAGTTCAAATGCTTCGCAATCTTCAAGTATTCAGGTCGAGAATCTTCAAAACTACTTTGGCTCTCTGTTTTAATAGCGGGTTTTCCATTTCAAATTTTGTATATTTTATTGAAAAAGTCTCGGTATTTTCACTGTATATTTTTGCGAATTTGCGATCAAATTCTGTTCACATTTGTTGTTGTTTTCAATAGCGTGGAATAGCGATTCTCCGATTGGTTAATTCACGATTGTTGTGAGAACTGCACATTTCATCAGTAATTTTGATAAAATTAACCGTCATTTCACTGTAGTAATTTTAGAAAAACAATTACCAAATGGTTTTCCCATGCAGGATAACATGATCCATGCACTTCGGATGTTGCTCGACTTTCGGAAATCGTAAAAATACACTCGCCTATGGCTTGTGTATTTTCACGCTTTCCAAAAGTCTCGCAACATTCCGCGTGCATGGATCACGCAATCCTGCATAGAAAACCATTTGGTATTCCTTCAATCCAAGCAGTGAGAGTTAGGGGTGAACCGGAACTCGGTTCCGGCCGGTTAGTTCCGGCCGGAACCCCGATTTTTTAGAGTTCCGGTTCCGGCCGGAACTAGTAAAAAAAGCATGGCCGGGACCGGAACTCTGTTGTTTTCAGAGAGATAGAATATCAAACGTTTTTGTGTCTAACAAAAGGTCACAGTAGTAAGAAATTTGGACTACGCAAGGGAAATGTACACCATTAACACTTCATTGTGACGTTTAACGCTTGTCAATCTTTTTATTCTAACATTTGCGAGCTCTCTCCTTGATGACTTGAAGTGTCTGCCTGTCTGGCAGCAGACAAAGTAACATATGACCATATATGGCTTAATAAATTAGTTCCGGTTCCGGCCGGAAGTTCTGGCCGGAACTTTTTCCAGTTCCGGTTGGATCCGGTTCCGGCCGGAACTTAAAAAACTGGTTCCGGTGCACCCCTAGTGAGAGTGCAAACAGAACTCAAAAGACACTTTCTCTTTTCAATTTATAAAGACATTTCCTAAGCAATATTAAAATATATACATCAGTGGTAATGGGTAACAGTATTTAAAGTATATAAACATATATATCAAATACCAATTTCCAGATTCCCTATTATTTAATATTAAATAGGGAATATGGTATTTCATTAATACTGATAATACATTACAGAAAACGAAAATGTCATTTCATAATAATACAGCAACAAGCCTTACTTTGAATCTTTACTAAATGTAATTCTCGACACAGATTTTCCACCAACACTTCGAACTTTTCCAATTTCCAATACTGGTAATTTCTTATCACTGCTGTCCACCATTGCTTCTTCTTCACACGTGCTTCTGAGCCTGCGATCTTTGGCAGAATCTTCAGTACTTTATATTATACAATCTGACCGTGTGCAAACTTATACCGTCGGTGCATCCAAGGATGAACATTCGCAGACATAAAACATTGTCTGTTCACGTAGTTTGTCACGAGCATTTAAAGGTTTCAATTAGCTCAGCCAATCAGTTAAACCTTGATCAGATTGAGACCTGCCGAATGCTCTTAAGTTGACAAACATGAAAGTTTCGCCGCGCGAGCATTCACTGATGAGTGGTCTAGGGGGAGCATGTATATCTCCATTACTTTGGTGCCATGGCAGAGGGCCGGCAAGGTCCATTCTACGGTCGTAAGAGGTTGATACGCCATCATCTTATGCCTGGATAACACTTCACACCATGAAATAAGCATGAGCACAACAACGTTCGCACATACGAAATTATAAGTTTATAACACAAGAACGCCAGCAAGTAGGCTCAAACTCAATTCCTTGTTAGGGTCTATTAAATCTCGAGTTCAGGTCCATAACGTAAGTTAAATAAAAAGGGACACAGCCCTGTGCATATTTCGTGTGAACGAGGCTTACACGGAGATAGCTCGCTTGCAGGGCATGGCTTACTACAAGACTAAAATCGTACAACCAACACAAAATCGTACAGCTGAAGGTCGTACAGGCATCGACCTACCCCGCCAGTACCCACGTGCATGGAAAAGAAAAATGTTCATGTAGATGTTTGTATCTTTTATTTAAAATATTCGTTATATCTTTAATTCTATAAATCAAATTAATTTTTCGTTTTCTTGTCCTTTTTCTTGGCAGAAGTGTCACTTGGATTGCTTCCAGTTGCTAAACTCAATTTCTTTTTAAGATCCAGCAGTCTAGCCACTTCAGCGTCGATCGTCGATTTCTCAGCTTTATTTGCCTTTAGCTGGCGTACAACATCACCCTAGAATAACAACATAAAGAAATGTCACCCGAGGCGAATCTTTGTTGGGACATGCCACATTGCTCAGATATTGAGGAATGTCATGTAAAAGAACTGGAGGAAAGGATCTTGGCACACAATTTATTCCGCCTATTTATTGAAATTTTCTTCTAACTACACAATTTGTGCTCCTCGAAAAAAATGACACTAGGATGACTTTAAAATAGGCAATTCCAGCTTTTAGTTTATGTAAGTATAAGCTGTCACTCCGTGTTTACACGGCTGCCAGTTTTATTTTTTCAGCATAATCAGCGAGATGATACCCTACTTCCCATCACCCCCTGCATGCATAAACTAAAAGCTGGAATTGGCAACTCAACCTCCCCACTGGTCAAAAACGTGAGATTCACCATTCCTGACCAGTCTTCAATACACCCTTTCGATAATTACGGCACAACTACACTGTTTTCAACTTAGGACCACCCATATGTTGAAGGATGTTGTACTTCTCTGCCCATAGCCCTTGAGAAACGAACTTGAAATCCATTCCATTTAAGATGGTCCTAAGTTGAAAACAGTGCAGTTGTGGCGTAATTATCGAAAGGGTGTATTGATCCTTCCAAAATTAGGTTAGGGAGAAAAATAACCCTACTGGTAACTATGTACACCCTGTTACACTATCAATTTAAAACCATATTAGCCATACAACCGTAATTTAACTGCAATAACTGAAAGGCTTCAAAACTAGTACTGATCTCAAAATCACTGGTTAGCGAACCAGTTAACAATACACCCTTTCGACAATACGTCACGAATTTTTGGCAGTAGGTAGCCTCGCTATCAAGACGAAAGGCAATTCGCTCACGAATCACAAGAGTGAGATTCCTGCGCCAAGGAGAAATTTGTGACGTAATTATGGAAAGAGTGTATTCAGTGCTTAATTAAACACTGTATATTTTGCTCGCCTGTTTTGCAACATCGCTTTCAAGGGCTTTTATTTCCTCTTCCGTTGGCTTCCCCTGAAAAGAAAATGTATTACTTAGCACGTGGAAATTTCGACAAAATTTGAGTCAGTGTAGAGTCATCCTGTCAAGTTATTTGGTATTGTGGGCCATTATTTTGAGTTTAGTTTCAGTCTATCCTGTCAACCTAACTTTTTATAGCCGTTACGTCAGCTCTCTTGTCGCTCTGAGAAATCCAAGAGGGAGTAGGATTCCAACCTTTTTATATTTTGGTGCAATAATGTGACGTGCGAACGATCTATTACATATTAGATATATTATTCAGCTCACTCCCCATCGGGGCTTTTCAGTGAGCGATTACATCAAGTATTACGCTTACTTGTAATACCTACAGCACTTAGGCTAGATTATCTTTACAACAATTGTGATGTTACTTTCCTATAACTATATTTTAATCCTAACCCACCCTGTCAACTTTCCCTGTGGGAGGAAACCGGAGCGCCAGGAGAAAACCCACGACTTTTGGAAGAGCGTTGGCGGACCTCTTTTCACATCTATGACTCACATCTTGGTAAAATTATTCATGGATTCTTTCAATTTACCTTATTTCGTTCGTTTTGTTGTCCAGAATAAAGTTGTCTGAATTCTTCCATTTTGTTGCCATCTATTTTTTCAAATAAAGGCTTAGGCTGAAAGAAAACATTAAAGGCACAGTTAAGCCTTTTGAATGATGGTTTTTAACGTAAATTTTTACATTTGTTACTGTGATTGGGAGCGAAGTTGGCAAGACCTTTTGTAAAATCATGTGATATTGTAATGTATATTGCCTTTCTTACTTTAAAAATTTACGAAACTTCACTTTTAAGTACAAATATTCCAGGGGTCGAAATTTAATTTTTTTGTACTATACAGCCGGAATAGTAGATTTTTATATTTACTATTCCGTCTGAAGATCCACTATTCCTTAATGTACTGTTTCTGATTTTCATGAAATCATCCTTGAGATTCCTAAAGTGAACTGAATAATTGAATAACAAAAAATAAACATGTACAGTCAGTGATGAACAAATTATTAATAAAAAACAAAGTTCAAACACTGAAATGAACTTGCGAACTTTGTTGCGAAGTTCGCGCCCAATTTCCGAACTTGGAAACGTAATTGGCAAGTTCGCAATGAACTTGGGAACCGCGCATTGAAAAGTGACTTGAAATTGACAATAATATTGCTGCAAAGAAATTAGAATACGCAAGTACTGCAAGCGAAGCAGCTAAGTCCGGTATAAAGTGATATATTATAAGATCAGGAAAACCCTTGCTTGTCGAATTTGGTACCACAATTTTTTCTACTATACAAACGGAATACTGTTTGTTGAAAACATGAAAGTTTACTATTCCGTCACGCATTTTAGTATATTCGGAATAGCGGGAATTTCGACCCCTGTATTCGTAAACTTAATTGAAAAAGGTCGTGTTTTTTCTTAATTGCATTGTGACACTTTAAGACATAAATTTACGAGTACAATACACGCTTCTTGAAAGTTCATCACATTGGCTATAGAGCGTCATTGGGATTTAACTAACTAATGTCACATACATGAAAACGAGGCTCTATAGCCACTATTATTACACTTGAGTTACTGTGATGTTCACAGCTAAATTATTTCTTATAAAACTTGAAGGTTCTCCATACCTCGCCAATGCTATGACCAGTTTCGAGATGTGGTACAAAAGAATCAACAATGGCACAATGTTCGTCAGAAACCTGAAATCAAGTTATGAATGAATTACTTCGTTGAACGGTCATAGTGTTCACTAGCCTGCATGGCAGCTTTCCCAGGCTTGCCCGATTTTAGGGACCGCCTGCCATGCAGGAGGCTAAGCGTTCACCAGGACATCATTATACTGCAGTTCCAATACGAAGTCAGGAATCGCTTTGTTAATAATAGGAACCATAAGCCTTCATTGGTAGTTATTCAAAAACGGTATGTCCTCGCGCTTGTGGTGCATTTGTTTAAGCCGCCAACGCGGTGAACGTGCTGATTGCGCATGCTCCAGGATACCTTATTGCAGTACTTGTCTGGTTATAATGTTCTTTCCCTGGGTAATGCCAGAAGACAGGAGATTTGCTGTGATCTAGCGACCATAAGAAAAGATTTTTATTTCGGCTTCATATTGACTCACAATGATACAGTGTTAAATCATTACGAGCTTCGATAGAGCCTGCTACCAATTTATTTAGTCATCAATAAATAGTTTAGTTTGTCCTCGTTTTAAAAAGGCCTCGGAAAGGGCCGAACTGTTACTGTTCGAACTGTTGAAGGCGTTAAAACATTAAACTTTCTAAACTCTTTTAAATCATATTTGAGATTATCAAAGATACTTTTTATTGTTTAGATAATGTATTTATATTGTAACTATACAATCATGGACATAATATCCGTGACCTTTTTAAAACCTGTCGTGTCTTACTATATTTTGTAAACCCATTTCATTCTTAGTTAATACAAACGATCGCTAGAAATATGATACCCTCCCCCCTAGCACAATGTTGGTTAAGACATTGATTATTGCTTAACAAGTCAACATTGTGTAGGGGGAGGGGAACTGTTTCAATAGTCTACGAATGAATGTCCATTACTGTACATTGTAACAAAGTCATAGATGAGAGCCACAGGGTTATCAGTATAGTGTGTGTGCGTGTGTGTGTGTGTGTGTGTGTGTGGGGGGGGGGGGGTCTTAAAATGCTTGTGTTCTTGTGGTGTTTTTGCTAGTTTAAATTTAGAGAAGATTGGACCTCTTTCTTTATTAGAATACGTAATTTACGTAATTGTATGTTTTCTTGTGGTGGTTATGGTTAAACTAACGCAGACGAAGATTGTATCACTAGCAAATTCAACAAATTGAGTACTCCAACCAGATTTAAAATTCAACGATAATACATATTCAAGGCTTTAACTACCTTTATACTTCGCAGCAAATATGTGAATACAATACCTGCAGTTGTTTTCTGATTTCCGCGCTAACATCTGGCATGAAAGGATTAATGAGAATGGACAATAAACTTGCCAGGTTACATGCAAGACCAATTACACTGCCAGCCCTTGTCCTGAAATAAAATATTAATAAATAGACCACTTTCATAAGACAGATGGCTTTAAATATTCTTAGTCTCGTGTAGGTTCAAAGATTCTGTTTAATTTTGGTCAAAAGAACGAGGCCGCGAGGCTTATTAAAATGTACATAAAAGAACATTTAAACCCATCTGCATGTGTATTATGAAAGTGGTCTATATATGAAGATAAACATGGTTGAATTTTAAACATGTAAAGCAATGTTTCAATAGTGCGGGAAATGTCTGTTTTGAAATGAAATTTTAAGAAAATGTCTTAGCAGGAAATTTTCTTATGCCTTGCAGGATATTTTTGTCATCTCATCCCATAGATTTTGCTTAACGTTTTAAAATACTAAATCCATTTGGCAAACCGAAATTGTCATGTATCGAAATTGAAGTATACCACCATGTGCAACATCGCACATTCTCCGAAGCCTACCTGTGCAGGAATTTTTACATTTGCTTTGCACAAGGAATGTCTATTTTGGATTTTTCTGCCAGGAAGAAAAATATTTTTCCATGAAATAAATGTCCAACACCACACATCAATGAAGAAATAACCGATGCCTACCTTTCATCTTCATTTCCCTTGACCAATACCCAAGGTTTGTTGGCTTGGACATATTGATTGCCAAGCTTAGAGATATTCAACACAACTCTTAAACCATCTCTCAATCTGATAAAATTCATGAAATAAATTCCTGGTTATAAACGAGGAAATGCATCTTCTAAGATATGCATCTTTTAACTTTCATAAGTGACTCTCCAGCTAAACTACTTTGTACTCTGATTTGATTGCTATCAATCTATATTGATATATTACACTCAATAACTGTCACTCATACACTACATCACTACAATGATATACAGCTATTTCAATTAAGGTTGTCCACGAGCAAAGCGGAAAAGTCGAATACGAGCGCGAAAGGCTGCTGGGAACCGCTTTGAAAATTCATTAATTTGTTAGCGATTCCCAGCAGCCTTTCGCGCTCGTATTCGACTTTTCCGCTTTGCTCGTGGACAACCTTAATTGAAATAGCTGTATACGTAACTTACTTGATGAGATCCATCAATTCGATATATTGTTTCAACTCGCGGTTGACTAAAGCAATCAATTTCGTATCTTCATCATTTAATACTATTGAAGGCATCTTCTTATTGAAATTGTTGTTCAAAAACACCAGCGCTCTGACAGAGAAAAAATACTATGGTGAAAAGTTAAGCCACAATTAATATATTAAATTAACCATGTTCGGCGTTTTGAACTATTACCACACAAACAGTTAGTTAAGAGTGTAAGAGCACACCTGTTGACGAAGTTTCCTAAATTGTTCAACAACTCTGCGTTGTTCCTCACAGCAAATTCCGCCCAGGTAAATACACTATCCTGAATAAAAACCATATTTGTCATATTTGAATTAGAGGGTGTGGTCACACGAGTCCTACGTGAGTCGTGAAGGTCTAGCCCTATCAGTAGAGTATGCAGGTTTTCAGCTTGTCTTTACATGATAAAAATCAGGCCCATTGCTTTGGCTCGCTCGTTATATGGCTTAGGTACATCTATCACGAGTAGATCTATAGTCAGATTTGATGGTGGGTTGCAGATTTTCCGTGATTTTTCCCATGAGGCTGGGGAACAAAATCATGAAAATTTTATCGAGCAGAGACTGTAGAATTTATTGTTGGCCCCCTCTCCCCAGATAATCCGTGTAGGAACAACCAGCTCCAGACGAGGAGTGGGATGAATAATAATGTGAGCAAACTAAATTCAATTATACTGTATTTACTAGTGACCTACTTGTGATTCAGGTCTAATTTGCAGCAAATAATATCTCCAAATATCGGGCGGGATTCCTGTTTCCTTGGCATCGTTACCGAATACACCTATACCACGACTTTTGGAGAACTTTCCGTCTTCGTAATTCAAGTACTCTACAAAGCAATCACACACTTTTAATTTTAATATTTGCGTGACAAAACTACTCAATACTGATTGGTTGAGAGAACATTTATTTTATCAATTCTATTTCTATTACAGAACCTTTGAAATTACCTGTATACTTAATATACTATTGTGAATAAGAGAAATACAACTCAGTGATGGTAGAAAGATGTATAGATAGTATGTGTTCATGAACTTTACAACGATTGTACGTTTTGCTTTTTTTTGGTTGTACGGTTGTACGTTTTTTTTCTTCGAAGTTCACGTAAGTGATGTAACTACAGCAGAGTCGTGAATACATTTAAATTATCTCACCAACACTATTCAAAAGGTTGGCGCACCATTCTTAGCCAACATCCCAGCAACTAGATCCGAGTAAGATCGTTATGACAATTTTTTACGCTGCTGAAGTGTAAAAATGTACATGCATGCATGGGTAAAGTTTTACGCAATAGAAACAACATGAAAGCTAACAATCCAGTGTCATGATTCAGCTCAGTGGTATGTTTCAACCTTACCTGTGGCATTAATACTGTCGAGCATGGTGTAAGGTTCCTTGGTTCCCAGTAATGTTGCTGGAAATACAACTGTATGAAATGGCACATTGTCTTTCGCCATGAACTGGTATAAACTGACATTCTCGGGATTCTTCCACCACTTTTCCCATTGGTCCGTGTAGTTAGCTGTGATTGATAGATATCTGCAAGATTGAATCAACAGATTATTCTTGAGAAAAAACCACTCCGAAAAGTAATATTTTGTAAACTCAAGATACGAGTTGTAAAGGCCTTGTTACACTTGCAATTTTTGCTGCGATTTTAGGTGCTATTTTCTTCTTATTAATTATTATTATTAATGGTTTATTATAAAAATCGTCGCGCTCGATGAAAGCGAATTGCGAAATTATTTACAAACTTTAGTTAAAAGTATTAAAAAGTACCTTGTGTTACTGGCATTATATTACAACAATAGTTTACTGATCTATGAATTAATATCGAAAGAACTTCTAAATTTACAAAATTTACAAAATTTATAAATTATGTGATTGAATACACATAGTAGGAAAAAAGCTTTTCTTAAAGCGCTCCGTCTTACAAGGAAACAGTGTTAATCTATTTCCGTACCTTAAATTACAATTGTGTCCATTGGCCCGAGGTGGTATTAAATGGTTAAGGCGTGAATCAGGCTGTCTGATTTTGTCAAAAGTTTTTATGCACAAACCATCACGTCTTGCGCGTAATGTCGAACATTTAGCTTGGTCCAGAGCAGCGTCATAGCTTAATGTGGGGTAGATTATTCGCATTGTGCGCTTCTGGACCCGTTCAATTTTATCTGACAAGTTAATGGTCAATGATGAATGCCATACCGGACAGCAGTACTCAAGCAGGGATCTAATAAGTGCAAAATGTACTCGTAGTAAATGAAACGGTGAAACTCCACTGCGCTTGAGAACTCGTAAGATGTGTAGTCTTTTTGATGCTTTGGTTACTATCTCACTGATATGCAAATCCCACTTCAGATTATTCTGGATCGTTAAACCTAATACTTTGTGGGATTCTATTCTTTCAAGACTAATGGTTTCAACAACTAAGGTGGGTGGTGGCTGCTCAATATCTCGTCGAAAGGAGACAATCATCTCTTTACACTTTTTGGGGTTCAATTTCATATTATTGGTACTTGTCCAATTACCAATTGCGTCCAATTCGTTTTGTAGTATAGATACCTCCCTTGTTGGAACAATCTCAGATATCGTCACGTCGTCTACGTACTTCCAATTACTGGAACGCGGGGATACTATTTTCAAATCATTAATCATTATGACAAAAAGGATTGGACCCAATTTGGTACCCTGTGGGACCCCAGCACTAGTTGAAAGCCATCGGGACACGCACTGTCCCAGCTTAACACACTGGCGGCGATTTGAAAGGAAGCTACAAATCCAAGGGATTATTGAACGGCGCACTCCCAAATCGATCAATTTTGTCATAACAATATTGTGGTCTATTCTATCGAAAGCTTTGCTAAAGTCCAGAAAGCAAGCTCTAAGGTAATGACCTGGGTTGTCCATTTTAGAAAGCCAGTTGTGGATAAGATCTAGAAGGCAAAGGGTGGTAGATGTTCCCTTCAGGCTGCCATACTGACGATTATCGATTTGTCCACCTATATCCTCAACCATCCAACTAACCACAAAGTCTTCGAGTACTTTCGATAACACAGGGGTAAGTGCGATGGGGCGGGTATCGCTCTCAACCTGGGTTTGTTTCTTCTGATGGATGTGAATGAGTTATGAATGTTGAGATGAGAGTACACGTATACAACTCATCTACTCGTTCACATCCATCAGAAGAATAAAATCGCAATAGAAATCCCAGATAAACGGGCCTTACGAAAAGGTGATATATCACCTGAAGACGAACATTACCCGAAGTAAGCCAAGATGGCCTTATCTTTTCAATATTCGTTCGTTTACAAATTTCGACTGAAGTAATAGAGTTTCGAGTACAACTTCAAAGCACCGTAAACCATAAAATTGTAATTTTGCATCAGTCTCATACGAGTAGGGTGCCTCGAATTTGTCTCTACCAAACACCACGGGTTTCTCCGCCTTGAAAGTAACGGGGCACTGACCAGAAAGTGCAATTGAGTCAGCAAACATTTTAAATATGTTAGATATGTCCTAAAAAGTCTAGAAGTTTGGACGTATGCAATATACAGCCTCGGATGTTATCGTATTCTCTAATACCTCTACGTCCTAAACTGAACATAAACACATTGACCACAAATTTGAAGAGAACATTTATTATTTAACGCAATTTCATTCTAAATTGCAAAAAAATCTAAGTCTCTGGTCGTTTTTGATAACAAAGTCTTTAGCAATCAAACTGAAGTCAATTTCATCAGTTCGGTTCTTGTTTCCACAAAAAGGGCACGTTTTCTCCTTGCACAAAAAATGCGGGGGCACCTGCCACCAATACCCCCCGGTTTCGCAACCTCTGGTTTCTCCTGAAGAAAAACTACACCAATAAGGGAGAGCATACCGAACCTCCCAGGAGAATATTTTGCAACAGATAAGGCTATCCAGTATAAAAAATAGTTTAGTATAGTATTGCATGTTTCTTACCCAATCGGTGCATCAAACCAAACGTAGAACACTTTATCTGTAAAGCCTTCTAGTGGTACAGGTGTCCCCCATTTTAAATCACGTGTTATACAACGAGGTTTCAGGCCTTCCTGTAGCCAACCTTTAGTAATGTGTTGGGAATTTGCACTCCAGTTCCCTGTAGTATAAAATGTTCATATTCTGTTCAAACAGAAAACACACGCTACGCTGCATATTTAGCAGCCTAGCCTCCTTCATAGGCAATCCTTTGGCTTGTAAGCCACGCAGCAACAGAGGATGACAGCAAATAATTTATTCAGTGAGTGAAGTGAATTAAGAGTACCTATAAACAATAGTACTGTGTTTTCACTCAACTAAATTCACTCCTTCGCCTGTTGCTTTCACTGCCTCCGTGTGGTTTGCCACCCGAAAATAGCGGACTAGGCCTGGTCGCATAATGCAAGAAAGCCTAATTACGTCAATTTATCGGAGCAGGGTAATAATTTATCCTTACTGCCACTCCCTCTCTCCTCCCTTCATTAACAGAACCTTATCTCGTGACGCACTCTGCAAAATATTGCGTAATTCCATCGCTTACACATACCTTCAGTCGATGCTTTCTCCACCCACGAAGTTAACTCGGGTTGTAGCTGAAAATAAAAACATTGGGAATGCACAAATTTTAAACATGAACTGAACTGTCGTTGTTTAAACATGAACATGAACTGTCGTTGTTTGGGTCCGAATTACCTGAAAAAGTTTAAAAACAATTTGCTAAGTTAGGGCTACGGACCTCCTAACGAAGGACCCACGTCACGCATGTTATATGCCCAATCTCACAGAAACCTCACGACAGTAAAGTGGTAAAGAACGCCGAGCAAGAGAAGAAACGAGCATACAACGACCGTATTATCGAAGTAGAAAATGGAACATTTACGCCGCTGGTATTTGGGACAAATGGAGCAATGGGTGATGAATGCAAGAAATTCAATAAAGAATTAGCTCATAAACTCTCAAATAAGAGATCCGAGAATTACTCCTCTATAATGAACTGGATACGGACACGATTAAATTTTAGTATTATACGCTCAGCCTTATTATGTCTTGGAAGTACAAGAGTACATTTTTACGCTCCTGTAACACAACATTTTGAATTCGCTTGTGCAGAGGCGAACATGTTAAATTCTATAAACTACCATTAATTTTAATCAGAAATAACTGAAGTCTTTTTACATGTTAATATCCCTATTTTATTATTCTACTTTATATATATCAAGCCTCTCGTTTTAAGTTTAATATTCATAAGGCTAGTTCATTTGTCATGATTAAACACAATCCAGCACAAACCTTTGTCAAGTCTAAGAAAAGATGCTTGCTTTTCTTCAGTGTCGGAGTTTTGCTACAAATTTTACATCGAGGAGCCTAAAAACATCAGAAAGTTGTAACTAAGTAAAAACAGACGTATTCCTTCATGAAATAACATAAGTATTCCTTCATGAAAGTATAAGGAATACTTACGCAACTGTGGAAAACCGTCGTTTGCTATAAATATTGAAACTGACGAAATATTAATCAGGATATAGGATTAGGATCTGACTGGCATCCAGTCGTCATATTATAAATTACATATATAGACTGAAGTGTGTGGTGAAGTGATGAATGGTGGGAACAGACACGTTCAAGTCACCTTCACCATTCCCATCATGCATTGCTATTTTTTCAAACTTCATTTCACCTACAAATAACTTCCTAAATATCGGGCTCAATTCATTCCTTCAATAATACTGTACTGCCTGGTTTCATTCACGGAAAGAAGCAGGGCGCTTATATACCATCATATAACATGGAGTACAGGGTATACCTTTAATTCTGTTATCATATAACATGTACCTTTAATTCTGTTGCGTTAATGAGTTTGCCACAAGCATCACATTGGTCGCCACGAGCATCCTGTTGGAAAATATGAATCATTAATTAGGCTTTCTAAGAATCTCCCTCGCCCGTGACCTCATTAATCAAGAACGTGAAGTCTCCTATAAACTTACGTGAAAACCACAGAGAGGACACGTCCCCTCTACAAATCGGTCAGCTAAAAATCTAAAATAGAAATAGTGTTAATGTCAATGCTCTGGGGCCGGTTGTTCAAAGGTGGATTAGTGCTAACCCTGGGTTAAAATTTAACCTGCTGTTTTAGTTTGTGTATTTATACACGTTTGTTTATTTCAAAACTTCAGAGAAGTAAACTCATATCGATCCAGACAAGATCTCTGAAGAAATATTTCCAAATTTATAGACAAACTGTGAGGAAGTTTGCTTTGAATTTTACCTAGGGTTAAACTAACCCAGCTTTGAACAACCGGCCCCTGATGTCAATGTTAATCATGGTGAATGCTATATGAAGAATTTCAAAAGGAAGTGTCCAATGAAATTATTACTGGTAACAATTCATGAATCTCTTAGCCAGATTTGTGGTGTGCAATGGCTTTATTAATATATTAAGTAGTATAGGAAAACATTGTCCCAAAAGTGTAAATAACAAGCACACACGTCTTTACATGGAGAATATTCATTTGAATCAAATCTTAATTGGCACTTTCAAAGCTAAACGTTCTGTTTCAGTAGTTCATTACCAATATGACATCTTGGTGAGGTCATTGCATATCAGACACAACGAAGTATGCTAAGAAGGTTCAGCAAGATATTATTGGGTCAGATTGAAACAAATTTATAGTGCCATAACAACAGTGAGTGAAACTTTATTTCGATGTATTTCGATAACATCCTTACTTTATAACTTGAAAACGAAAACATAACAAACGGGATTCTTCTGGAAGCAAATTGCAAAGTTTACCCATAAACTTTCCCAAATATTGATCGTCTTACCTACTGCAGTTTGCACAGTGTAGTTGTTCTACTGTATCTTCCAGTGTTAGACCATTGTGGTAATTCTTCCAAAAAATATCTTGAGAAATCCTTAAGAAAAATTTAACAATGAATGTTTTCGTCTCAAAATTTTATTGATGAGACTGTGGGCACGAATTTTGTTGAATCTCCAGTCAAAAGTAGATTTTTGCCGTTTAAAGCATTGCAAATAGCATGTAACTATATATAGGCCCTCCACCAGGAATCGAACCTGCATGTTCTCGGAATCCGGTGGAGCGAACAGGTTTCTTGACAACTTCCACTTTTATTTTTGTATGCGTGTACACTACTATAATCTTTACAGCGATTGTCATGTCACTAAACATAACTTATTTGTGCATGTATCATAACACAGAGAGAATCTAAAAGGCTGAGAACAATAGGAAAACACACTATTTTTGGCAGAAGCTTTGCTTACCACAATAAAATTTTTTTTTTAATCAAAACAGACTCACTTTGTTTGTTCTTCAGTGGTTGTTCTTCCAAAGTAATCAAACTGAATATTAAACCATTCGTAAACTTCACTGTGGATTTTAAAATATTTGGAACAAATCTCTCTTGGAGTGACACCTTCTTCCAGCGCCTACACGATAAAAGCGCGACATTAGGGAGCGAGAGGGATATGGGGGAAGGAATAGGGAGAGCATTGGGGGAGGATATCATTCCGTCTCCTTTGTTCGTCTGTTTACACGGTGTATTTGTCACAGTGTATGTTGTGTAATTTTTCTGATTGACAATGTTGCACGCAGTTCTACGTCGCTTCAAGAAAGACTGGTTCTTGCAATCTTTAACTGTTGGATTTTACTACGCCTGACGTCCGTTGACAAAACATCCTATGCTTAATTTATAAAAACTTCGACAGTCGTGAACTATATTCTAGCAACCAGGGCGCTTATAAGCGCCCTGCTAGCAACTGAACTATATGCGAGGTCAAGTCAGTTCGATTTCCTAACTACCGGTATATCATGTACTTGAACCGACTAATTGAACTCCTAGCTCAGTTGGTAGACCCAACTTGAGCAAAGCAAAGGTAGCAGGTTCAATTCACAACGTGGTCACGTATACTTTTCCGTATATATATATATATATATATATATATATATATATATATATATATATATATATATATATATATATATATATATATATATATATATATATATATATATATATATATATATATATATATATATATATATATATATATATTATATATACGTGAGACACTCGTATTTATATCCCATGAGCGTAATGGGGCCAGGGTGCTCAAACGACCACAAGGGAACGACCACATTATCGCTAATAGACACCCATTAACAACTCCGCAGAGTGCTCAAGAACACCGGCGTGAAGGGGCGTAATAGTACAATCTGCAGACATGTATGTTTCGGCGTTCTACGCCTCGTCAGTGAAGCTTGGTACACGTCTAGATACGTGAGACACTCGTATTTATATCCCATGAACTTGCTCTCACCAAGGCACTACACGGTGACTCGACGCATCCAGACATGCGCAGAGCGTAATGGGGCCAGAGTGCTCAAACGACCACAAGGGAAGTGAGCTTTGCATTATCGCTAATAGACACCCAATATGTATTTAGAATCATATATGAGTAGAGTGCTCGATATACCGAAGTATAGAGCTAATATAGATAAAATAAACCTGGTTTACTTCATAAGATTTTATGAAGTAAAATATAGGGTCTGTTAGATATCTAAAAAGTCAGGACGTCATAGAGGTCAAATGGAGATCTACAGTTTCGTAGGGCACAAGGATTTGATTTGAAGTAACCAACAAAAGTATTATAATATAAAATTATTTTTATACTTTTTCATCTTAAACTAACTTACCTTTGTTTCCGATGCAGTTCCATATTCATCAGTACCACAAATGTACAAAATATTATATTGTCTTAGTCGGCAAAACCTACCGTGAGAAAGATAAAATAACACCCTGACAATGAAGTACTACGAAAGAATAATATACATGATTGACTAAGAAGATAGGCTGTTGCGGTATATCGATATACCGATAATTCATAATTATCAGTTTTTTAAAAATGCCGATTATTCGATATCGAAATTTTCAATTATCGGAATATCGATATTTCTCGATATTATCTACATCACGTTTATGTTTCCTATTTAAAGGGATATGGCAATAAAAATTCTCTTTGTCTTATTTGAAAGAACTTTTAAAATTATATATGAAGACCCTTTACAACTTTTTCGTACCTTGCTTGGTTTTCAAAATATTTTGACCAAAAACAGGGTGCAGTCCGCCGTCTTGGTATTATAATTGACCTAATTAACTGACTTTTTGATGACATCACAAGCAGGGTAAACTTGTTAAAACTTCTTCATGTGGGACTAAATTTCTTCTAAAGGTTTCTTAAAATGTTGTGAGTTATTTGAGTACTAAAAAGACTTCGGAAAATCGACAATCTTTGTTTCGAATTCGCAGTTGAATAACATGTTTTGAAACAAATTTCCTGGCCAAAAATATAACACATGATTCATTGTGAGTTCGGATAATCAATGCAAATATCGCAGCTTTTTGGGGTCATTTAAAAACAGAATATTTTGAATAAAATTAAGCAAATTTTCAATAAAATAAAGCAAAATACAATCGTGAAAAATATCGATATAGCGGTATATTATTGAATTTTTTTTCCGGTATCGGTTTTCTGGTTTTTTTTTTCAAATACCGCAACAGGCCAACAACCTATGTTTCACCGTACCATGCATTTATGAAGCATGCTTATAATTGTAGTGGAAGAATTTGAAATGGTGCCAAACTGATTGGAATATAATAATCTTCATAACTGCGGGCTTGATGTAGTACGACACTATAAAATCTTCGGCAATTTTGGAAATAGTATCGGGTGTAAGTGAGATCGGGCGAAGTTCTTTTTTGGGGTTGATGACTTGTTTAGTCTTTGCATGGAATTGGCGATATAAGCGTGTTTCCAGGAACTAGGACTAGGTCACATCACACAACGTGATATTTGTTGCACAATAATGGCAGTCCTTGAAACTCCCAATAATTCAGGTCGGCAAGAAATTGCCAACCTAAAAGCGATAATTCTCAGTCTAGGTCGGCAAATATTTTCAACAAATAGACAATATCCAAATGAAAATTTAATTTGCTTGCTGCAAATACGTGTATTTATAAACAGCAATTAATTGCAATCAAAGGCAATAGCAAAAACAAAATGCATGAACTCCAATCGAACAGTGCATGTTGTGACCAAATGTTGTGACAGACCGCACACTACTACTTTATTGCCATATACTTTCACTTTTAAAATCTTGAAGCTCGACGATTTTAACACGTATGTTTACTTTAAAAAAATGCCGAAACGTATTTGAAAGTAGGTCGGCAAAATTTTGCAGACCTAAATCTACACATATCGCTTTGCAGGTCGGCGTTGCCAAATGCCGACCTGAGTTTCAAGGACTGATAATGGCAGTTCGTGTCAATCATACCATCAATAATAAACAGATCATACACACCATACAGTCATAATACTTGGAAATTTCACAGTAGGTTGATTATATTTTGTGAGTGAACGTGCTTGGGTATATCGTCTATATATTCAGTCTCAATTCAGTTTCGCTTTGTTGTTTGAGTATAGGAGTTCAGTATGGAGTCAATTGTCACAAAAATTCTAAGTTCAACAGTGGGTTTACTCGTGAATAAAGCTCGCGACGCGGCTTCCGCTAAACTGAAGTGCGGTGATGTTACGGACGCAAAAATTCGCGAGCTCGTCGTAAGAGAGTTGAACGACGTCAAGACGAAACTCGATGGCCTTTCACGCAAAGATTTGCTCAGCAGCTACAGTTTTCTGAAACAAGGCATCGATTTGCTGAATTTTTCTCTCAATAAGTCCATGAAGGAACAGAAAGGTGTAGATAAACCCACCAACGAACAAGCCGCATCAACAATGACAATGTCGACCAGTGTTCAGTCTGAGATCTTAAACGAAGCCTTGCCACTTTCGCAAGCGATGGAAAAGTTAAATATTGTATCAGACGGGGATTTTGAGCGTGCTAAAGAACGATTTAAAGATGCACGTAGAAGAGCAACCGACGCTTTCTCTAACCAAGCTTTGAGCATCGAAGACAGATTGATGGCGGCAAAACTACATATCGTTGCGACAATTTTGGAATGCCTCGAATCACCAGAACATGCGATCACATCGTGTCTGTCGTTTCTGAAGGAATTGCACGGTCTTGAGGAAATTGCTGAGATATTCTCCGTGTATCTCAATCGTGGATTCATGTCAAGATTGAATACAGCACAGCGAGTAGAGTGCGTCAAGTCTATTATGTTGGTCAACTATACTCTATTCCAATTTGTGTTCAAATTCACCAGTAAGTATACTTCCGCAATCGCCTGGCCAACGATTGAACTTGCTGAACGCAGTTTTAACCCAATATTAAGTTGGCAGGAGATTTCGACAAGAAAATCTATGGGCGATGAACTGACCCAACTTCCCAACAAACTGATACTTGATGAAAGTACAATCACTGTTTATTCTGCTGTAAACAGCCATGGAGATGTTATTGTTGGAGAAGATCCTGACAACATCAAGATTATATGGAAGAGAGCTGAAAGCAAAGTGGTTAAATTACCTGAACCCAGTGAAGGTAAAGTTATCAGGCAATATATTGTAGGACTTGCTGTTGATAAGAATAACAACGTTTACGTGGTGAGATGGCTGAAAACATCTACGGAAAATGGCAAAGTGGAAAGCATTGTGTTGGATGTACTGGACGAGAACTACAATGTAAAGCAAGACTCGCGCAGATTGGAACATCTCGAGGCAACAAAATGTTATTATGTGAAGATCGCTATAACCAAGAACAATAATATCGTCATGGTCCGATACCGTGATCCCCAGGTATATATATGTGACAATACTGGAAAATTAAAGCACAAGTTTGAACGAGGCTCACTAGATCTACGCAGCTTGGGTATTTGTGGGCAGGGTGAAATCATGATACCATCGGACGATGACCGGGCTGTCGAGATATACTCCGAGGAAGGAAATCTGAAGTCAACAATAAAACTACCTGAAGGTCACAAGGTCCGTGGGTTGGAATTTCATTATGTCATTTGCAAAATAATTTTCTTAACCTATGTTGAGAAAAAAGATTCCTATTTCCTGCTGTGCTACACTGAAGCAGGTGAACTGGAGACCACAACGTTCTTTTCCAAGAGAGTTGCCGATGAATTGCCCCCCAAAATTAAATCTCATCCAAGTGGTCCTGTTGCTATTCTAAAGGAGAAAAGCATCACTTTCATTTAAAAAGGATGAACTTTCCATCTATTTGTACAGAAAATACAAAAACTTTCTAGAAAAGCCAGCCTGGCAAGCTTAATAGTCTTAAAAAGCGCATGTCAACTATTAGTATAAGTGGTAATTGTAGCTTTGGCAAATTTGTGAACGTTAACTGCACGACGTATAAATTTTACGTTTTTGATTAAATTAACAAATGTCAACTTTTTGACACGTCATTTATTCTACAAAATAATTTTGTAAGAAAATTTTTCAGTGATTGTGAACTAAATGAACATCCAATCATATTTTTGTTATTTTGAACAATTATATATATTATAGAAATGTAGGATGGAGTTTTTCGGCAACAAATTTACTGAAATTTGCATGGATGATGGATCAATAAAGTAGCATTATTATTATTAAGTCGAGATTTAAGTTGAGCTAGTTTGAGATTGTATTTAGCAAGTATCTATATAGTTCGCAGGATTTCGTATCAAATGTACAAGCTCCTTTATGGTAATCATTTTAGTTGTGTTTCCCCATGAGAAAATTACAGTATTATAGAGGTCACTCCAAGACTGCATACATATCTTAGCCAGTGAATTAAGTTATATATCATGCATAAATTATACAATGGGCTAATTCCGCATTCAGTTTACTCTGCCCGCCAAAGCAAGATAAACTTTTGCTAATTTTTCATCCAATTTTCATCCAAATTTAACCAAAATTTAATCAAGCTGTTCCTGGGCAATGTCCATTTAAATATTCCCACACATTTTCGCATTATTATTCGTTTAATATTTTTACGTTATCGTGCTGACAGATAAACGCAGATGAAAACATAACCTCCTTAACTCGACCTGAAAGCGAGGGGTGGGGCAAAGGGATGACACATAGTAATATGTTGAAAGGTCTTTGATCGTGATCTTCATTTAATTCTTCACGACTTACTTAAAATACCAGGGGCCGGTTGTATAAAACTCTTAATCACTTTTTTAATCACTATTTTGTAGTTAAATAGTGATTAACTCTCAAATACGCGCTTCTTATTGGATGACGTTTCCACTAACTATAGTTAACTTTAATCACTTTCTTATACAACCGGCCCCAATTCAACTAGTACTCAACATCAGACGAGCAGACTGGCCTGAACGGGGCTCCGCCTGTCCCCCTGTCATCTAGAGGTTCACCTGTTCCTCTAGAAGAAACTTACAGTTTTTTTGCATGCTCTGTCAGGTCTTGAGTACCCATACTGTCTCAGTCAGGGCGCTTATATATAACGCGGTGCCATGAGCGCCCGTGCGCTGATCAACGTGTGATGCGGGAAGTAGCCTGGAGCGAGCACGTTTTTGGCGAAAATAGAAGAAAAAGTAGATTTTGATATGCCTAGTTAGTGTGACCATTAATTTTTTCCCTCAACCTTTCTAGTGTGGATACAAACTAATTTAAAAGATATGTACAATAATTCCTGCTGTGCTACACTGAAGCAGGTGAACTGGAGACCACAACGTTCTTTTGGAAGGGAATTGACCGTGGAATTTTTGGCGGTGAACTTTACCCCAGAATTATCACTTTCATTGAACTTTCCATATATTTGAACAGTATATACAAAAGTATTCTATAAAAGCCAGCCTTGCAAACTTAAATAATAGTCTTAAATAGCGTATGTCAACTATAGTATAAGTGGTAATTATAGCTTTCCGCTTTCGCCAATTTGTGAACGTTTACTGACGTAAACTTTAAGTTTTTGAATAACAAATGTCAACATTTTGACACGTTATTTTTTCCATGATTCTGATGCTATAAAATAATTTTGTAAGAAAATTTTGCAATGAATTCAGTGATTTAAGAATGACGTTTTTGTTATTTTGAACATATATTTCTTATAAGATCTTATTCACAACACACATCGACTATCTCTCGTACTGCAAGGCACAAACAATCATTAATTTATATACCCAGAGCAAATGATGCGCATAATTTACATCTGCTCACAAATTTCGCGGTATAACAACACGTGTTTCTTCCAAGAAGATTTTCTTGTACTAATACAGTACTAATACACAGAGATCTTTCTGAATGTGAAGAAGCAGAGATATAGTTAACGTTTAAAATTGCTTGTGCTTGTTTTTAGCTGACCTGCACGTAATCTCTGTAACCTCCTCACAATAGCAGCTAATAAAAGGCACAATCTGGTCAGTGCAAGTGCTCACAATTATTACAATTATGTATAATATAGTTTTTCGCTTAAACGGTCCAAAGTGTCGAAAATATTAGATAACACCAGTTTACAAATGACAGCTTTTTAGTTTACATTATATATAAATAAATCATCAAGACATTTATATTATGTTTATAGTAACCACTGCCATGCGCCATTCTTAATTTCATGACAGATCTCATAGATAATAACTAAATCCAGTTTCAAGAATGCAATTATTTTTGTAATGCACTGCAGTCAGTGAAGTGCAATTAACAAAACGAGAGAAGAGCCTGGAAACGAGACAGGAAAAATCAACATTGCGGCATATATACTCGTGCATGTTTTTTTTCCAAAATTGCACAACAAAACCATCCTATTTACACAACGGGCTTTATATTTATGTAAATATCGAGATTTTGTTGGCGTCTCACTCGATTCAATTATAGTTGAAAGATATTGTAGATGACAATTATCGAGTGGAAATTTATATACATTTATTATATCTAACCAGGAACAGAAGCGAAAAATGCAACTTTAGGTCCCTGGCATGAGGAATCGAACCTGCGGTCCTGCGATTCCGGTGCAGCGTTCTAACCAACTGAGCTACACAGGCCAGTTGTCGAGCTCTAATCACAAGTTTTGTATGTATATAGGGTACTATATACATACAAAATATATATATTATATATTTTGTATGTATAACTATAGGGTTATGGGTAAACATCGAGATTTTGTTGGCATCTCACTCGATTCACCCCATCAGCCCTCTGCACATTGAAATGGCGTATTTTGAGTCGGTATAACTCAGGGATGGATTTACTGGGGGGTGCACCCTCCTAGCCCTGGCCAGACGGGGTGCGGGGGGGGGGGGGGCTTTTTTTCAGG